CGCCTGGCTGTCCTCGCTGGGACCCCTTGGAGGGGAGCCGGTTGAGTTTCCCTCCCCGCCCCGACCAGGGCTCCGGCAGCCAAAGACCTCCAGAACCAGCCACCATCATGCTGAGACCACTCTCCACACACATGAAGGTACTGGCAGAGGAACAAAGGCATGCGGGTCCTGGAGCTGAGATCTCCAAGCCTGCTTGGATCAGGGATGAGCATCCTCCACCCAGATCCTCCAAATTCTGGTAGGCAGGGGCCACACCCACCAACTGGCCCCCTGGTGCCATGTAATCCCATCAATGGCCAAGACCCAGAGACTATATTATATAAGTATCTTCTAAAATAATCTCTCTCTCCCTTTCTCTCTCTCTCTCTCTCTCTCTCTCTCTCTCTCTCTCTCTCTCTCTCTCTCATGTTAAGCATAGCCTGTGTTCTGGAATTACTACAAGGTTCAAATATCAACTGTCTTAGTTATTGTCTATGTGACTGTGAACAAACCACATTACTTCTATTGCCTCAGTTTTGGAATCTGCAGAAACAGAAGAATACGATTGTTTTAAAATTCTAGTGAGAATTTATCTACACAATGATCATTTAGCTGAGAACTCATTTTCCATTGTTACTAGTATAAAAACTTCTAATGTTTTATAAAATGTTTATATTTGAAAACTGTACTCTTGCTTACTATTGAAAAATGATTGGACACGAGACAAGTAATTCTATTATTTCTTTTCACTCGCTAGAGGGCAATATGGAAATCAAGAAAATTATTTTCTGCCTCCCTTGTGCAAGCTATGAGAACCATGAAGTCATGATGACTATAGTCACCTCCGTTTTGGTACATCGATGATAAAGGAACTTATAAATGATATCTATTTAGAATAACACACATCATATAAATTATAAATATAAAAATTACAAGTCAAAAATCTAGTTTAGGGGCTGGAGCGATAGCACAGTGGGTAGGGCGTTTGCCTTGCACGCAGCCAACATGGCCGACCCTGGTTCGATTCCTAGCATCCCATATGGTCTCCCGAGCACCGCCAGGAGTAATTACTGAGCGCATGAGCCAGGAGTAAACCCTGAGCATCGCCAGGTGTGACCCAAAAATAAAAAAAAAATCTAGTTTAGCAATATTATTTTTATACTGGAACTTTATTTTTAAAAGGGTTACCTTCCTAATAAATGGTATGAAACTGATCTCAGCCAATCGAGTTTTTTTCTCTTATACTTTAAGACTTCTGACTTCTGAGAAAGCCTCAAGGATGCATCAATTGCCTGGGATAGAGGTGAAAGTGTGTGAGGAATACAGAGCTTCCATTCTGGAATATCTCTGAACAATGCCAAGGTCAGCTACAGTGTCCGTTCTAGTCTTTGGGATTTTCTGTCCTGTTCAATATTACAACATGCTCCTCATAGGCGTGTGAAATCTATTCTGTTTCCTCCTTTTACCTCCTAAATAAAAAAACCTACAAAGGTCATTCGTTATTCATGGCGCTTATTTTAGAGCATCTAAGTCAACACAAACTTTTAAAAATAAAATTTCAGATTTTGTCCAAGATCTTTGTTCAGCTCTAGGGTCGACATTAAAAGCTTTATGGCTGAAAACAACTCTCACTTTTTGTTTGTTTTTGTACTCTGGACTCACGAAGGCACAATTTATAATAGGATAATGTTAGTAGTGGAAGGAAGGAATGGATATTTTTATTAGTCAGTTTTGTTGACACATTAGGCTATGCAAGAAATTATTGCAAGATGCAGTGTGTTATAAGAAGTTATATTAGTCTTCCAATTTGCCAAGGTGACAAGTTCAGCGTATTTCAGCTGAACTCACCCGAACAGGGTTGTTTCATATTTTGAGCTAGTTGAATTTGCTTTTAGATTTTTACAACAGACAACTTTAGATCTTTACAACAAAGTAATGTTGGCAAGAAGCAGGGGAAAGTGTTCTGGGCTAAAGGAGCAGATCATACACGGCCTGTTGTATGATCTTACATCTCTAGATCGCAGAGAAACAAGTTAGGTAAAACCATGCTGAGATAGATAGGTAGATAGATAGATAGAAAGCCATTGCTTCAATCATATGTCTTAGTATTGCACTTACCAGAGCATATCAACATGATCAGTCACTACATTCATGGTTTAAGAAAGTACACTTGGACCTCAGTAAGTAAGGCAGTGGAATAAATCCTCCTCCTCCTCCCCGCCCTCCTCATCATCATGTGGACCGTTGCCCTATCCTTGCAATAGTACAATGCAGTTTTGAAAATATTAATGCTTTTCTTGAAAAACGTGTTTGCATATCATTAACTCAATTGGGACTAAATGGGAATTTGGAGAGAAACAATGGGAATTCGGAGAGAAACATTTCTTCCACCTTCCTGGTAGAATGCTATTGAAGATGGCCAGATGTGGAGAATAGACCCTGGTTGGAAAAATGTCCTGAAATTCCTCTAAATTAGCTGTAGTTTGACTGTACTTTTATGATTCCAGAGAAAGGAGTGGAGGAGCCTGGAAGAAAGCCAACCTCTTTCCATAGGAAAGTGAGATTCAAAAATGGTAGATTGAAATTCAAGTAATGTTGGCACGAATCAGGAAAACGTGATCCTGAAGAATGGAATCAAAGTTAGGAACTGGGTGCTTCTGCTGAGGGTACTCTTGGAAGACTGAAATCTTTTTGTTGATGTTGTTTGTTTTGGGGGTCACTCCACACAATGTTCAGGGGTAACTGCCACCTCTGCACTGAGGAATCACTCCTGGCAGTTCTTGGAGGACCAGATGGGGTGTCAGGGATCAAACAGGTCAGCTGCATGCAAAGCAAATGCTCTATCCGCTCTACTATCTCTCTGACCCCAGCACTGAACTCATACCTGTGTGTTCTGGTCTATAAACAAAGGCATGATAAGTAAAGAGAGCAAATGATCTCTCTGACTTAGTATGTCCCTTTAGTTTGGGATTTTTTACTCTGATTGTCTCAGTTAAACCTTAGATACACAACTTTGTATAGAATCAAGCAAGTAATAGACTATGTTACAAAGAATAATGTTTTCCAGAGGATTCTTAAATGCTTCCTCCAGAGCTTTTTACCCCCTAAGTGGGAGTTCATTTCCCCTGATATAAACTCACTGTTGTTTAGAGTTCATAAGGGAACATAGTATGAAAAGAAAGTACTGGTTGGTTGGTTCGAAACAAAATATTTTTTCTTTTCGACTTAATGCAGAATAATTTATTCTTCTGATTAATAAGCATATTTTACATTTCTGTTTAATACATCAAGTGTATATAATGTTGGAGTCCCTTAAAATGCTAAAACTACACATGATCAAATAAGCTACATATTATATTCAGCTATTAGACAAATGTCATTTTTTATATCACAACACATACATAATATACTTTTTTCACTGACAGAGGAACATGCCTTTCAAAAATATTTTATTGGATGAAACTTTCTTAATTTCAGGAAAAATTTAGTTCTTTAATATAATTTATTATGCCTTTTAAAATTCTGTTCGATAAAAGCATTTGGTACATTATAAATACCTGTAAAGAAAATATAGTTTAAAATTCAAAGGGAAATATTAAATAAGTTTCCTCTTTTACATTTTCAAAAAAATCCACACAGGCACCAAGAAAGACTGACAAAAATAGTTTATGTCTGAACAATACACTCCACATTGGAAACAGCCAAACATAACTTTAAGGATTAAAGCTTCTCTTGAGTATACCTTTGGCTACAATCCAATAGGCTAGTTGGGATTTCAACAAGCAAAGGGTACTATTAAAAAGGATGAAAATCATAGCTTCATACAATTCGCTAGAATTTGTAATGGGGAAAGGATGAATGTTCATTTATTACCTTTCACTCACCTTCTTAGCTTTATTTTTCAGTTGATAAATCTATGCTAACATCTCTCTGGCATTTTTCAGTAGTTAATTTTTTTGACAGGTGCAATTTTTAAGGTTATATTCAACACCTTATGGGAAACTTCAAGGGCAGTGATTCCGTGAGTGTATCCGTTAAGCTTTGTGACTATTGCTCTGGAAATATCCCCATTCCAACCAAATTAACATGGGCATGAAAGTAGAATAAACAATAGGACATTACCAATACCACCCACACTTCAAGCAGATCAAATCAAATGAGAGGCTCCAGTGTTTTTCCTTCAGCTCTATTTCAATGATATGTGACCTTATGTAGTTCAAATATTACAAAAGGCTTGCAGACAAACTCATGGGAAATTTGCAGGTATTTGGAACCTAACAGTTATTTGTGACTATTTAGAGAATGGGAAATTAGGGAGTTAATGAAAGTTGTGTAAATCAGCATATCCTGGTGAGATGAAATTAAAGAACTTTGTCAAATGAGATTTCAGATATACTTCCAGGGGTCTAAAATACACCTTCCTTTTTTGCTCTAATTTAATTAGATCATGGCAAATTTTCATAGTTATTAATTATTACACAAGTGCAGCTTGAAAGATGCTAAGAATAATTTTTTCCAGATGCATCTATATTTTGTACATGCGTATTTAACATAGGAATGGGAACAATCAAATACTAATTAAATTCTGACAGTAAGATGGTTGCCCGAAGCAGTTTGGAGTAAGGTAACACAGGATCTGGCCTTCAAGTCTAGCTGCATAGTTGCTACTTAATTCTGGCCAGCTATTGCCAGAAGGGAATGAGGGCCTGAGAATTGGATTTTATGTGAGATCTCTTTTGTTAAATAATCACTCACATTTTAAAGACATTTCACACACCAAACAAAATCTACCTGAGGGTCAAATGCAGCCTGCGTGCTGCCAGCTTTTAATCTCTTTGCTGAAGTTGCGGAGCAACGTGCTGAGAATTTGGCTATCCAATACAAAATAGGGATAGGATATTTGGTTTGAAGGGATGAACTTTCAAAGATCCAGAAAAATCCTGCCCTAATACATACAACAAAATCCAAGTGACAGCTCTCAGTGCTTCGCCTCATCATGCTATTTAGTATTTCATAGTATTTCATTGCTATCATAGTGGTTCTCTGTTATGAGTAATTTTCCCATTATCATTGTTAAAAATATTACTGGGCATTTGCTAAGTCTCAAATATAATTTTGTTCTAGAAAGGGGTAATAGTAAGTTTTCTCAGTATTTCGTCTGTTTCTAAGAAAGGACATAAGCAAAGAAAACCTTCAGAAGAAGGGGCAATTGAAGAAGACCAGATCAAGCTACTATTAGATTCATGGTCTCTGCATGGTACAACAAGCAGAGAAGAACATTCTAGAATTGCTCACATGAGACAGCGCAGATTTCAAGGTCCATTTCTGGATGCAAATAGCCCATCACTCCCTCAGTTGAACAGCTGTTTCTTCCCTAAGTGAGGAGCACTTGAAGTCGGAATGCCTTAGGTTATGGATCTGATTGTGAATTCATTCTTAGAGACGTTCCAAATCCTCCTTCAGTATCAAAATCCTAATAACCACAACGAAAGAGAATAAATCATTCTCAATTTTCTTTTTTGCAGGTTACTTTTTCCAATTAACCTAGTGTCTAGGTAATGACTTTTCTTTTAAGAAATGAAATGGGCGGGCCCCAGGAGGCTTCATAATGTAATGTGTAATGGACTTACAGCTCCAGAAAGAACAAACCTTTTTACTTATGCAGGCAGGGAAGACAGGTTTTGAAAGAACTATGATCAATTCAGGAAGCTGGATTTACTACTTAAGCTCATCCCTTTTACATATCCAGTTTGGGGAGAAAAAAGCAAAAAAGTACTACAATGGATATTAATATGCATAAGAATCAATGACAAAAGCAACCACATCAGATACAGGCAAAAATCTAAGGGGAAGGAAGCAGCATGACTCTTTCCGACTCAGACCCGCCCACTTATTTCAATTTTCCTCCCTCAGAATGTCCACCAGCGCTTGCAGCAGTCGGTCGTCTCTGTGCTTGTAAGGTTTTGTGTTGTAGAAAACATCCACATAGTCGTTGTACAGATTGTCCTCGGAGTCTTTACGCTGCGAAGGCTTATTTAGCTTTTCCAGGGCTCTGTAGAAGTTTTCGTAAGGGATGCTGAGTTTTTCACTCAAAGACGTTGCTGGTGATTGTTTAGGGCTCGGGTTTTTGGTGAAAGCGCTTTGCAGGAGGCGCAGCATAGCCTCAGAAGGGGCTCCCTCTGCCAGCTCTTCCCTTCTTCCCCCCACACTGCCAAAGCCAGGGCCTTGGGGTGCCAGAGACTTCTCATTCTGGCCCTCCAGTGTGGGCTGCTCCTGAAACACACAACGGCACCGACACAGGAAGGGAAGCTTGTTATTTGGAGCTAGGGCAGGCCAGGTGGAGCGCATGCATAGGACCTACTTTTTGACATGCCATTGGAAGGCTAGGACTCTCACCACCTAATATCCTTGGTCCATACTCTATGAAACCTTGGCACCTTTTTCATCTGCCCGAACTCTGTCTATGAAATGGGAGCGACTATACCTCCATTTCTAGTGGTTCTGAAGACTAAATGAGACTGTGTTTCATAGGACTCATCCCTCCTCTCTCTTGCCTATCAGCCTGCTGTAGTAGAATTCAGCTCAGGGAATTCAATTTATTTAAATCCATTATTTTTAATGGATTAAAATTCTGAACAAAAGAATAAATTTGAGTAGGGTTATATCCTCTGTAAAAGAAACAGCTTAATCTAAAAGAACAAGAGCAATCAGTGCTGAAGCTGATGTGGGGAGAAAGGGACGCTCCTTCATTGTTGGTGAGAATGCCAATTGGTCCAGTCTTTTGGAAAATAATATGGACATTCCTCAAGAAAAATAGAAATTGAGTTCCCATTTAACCCAGTAATACTACTTCTGGGAATATACTGTTGGGAGACCAAAAGCACACAACTGAAACACCTTCTGCACCCTATGTTCATTGCAGCACTAATCACAATAGTCAGAATCTGGAACAGCCTGAGTGCCCAAGATCAGATGAATGGATGGATAAGAAACTATTGCATATCTACATAATGGGATACTATACAGCTGTTAGGAATGAAGTCATTAAATTTGCCTATATATGGATAGACAGGGAGTGAAATGAGTCAGAAGGAGAGGGTCAGATATAGGAAGACTGCATTCATTTGTGATATATGTAAAGTGTATGTATATATACATATATAATATATCACTGTCACTGTCCTCCCGTTGTTCATCGATTTGCTCGAGCGGGCCCAGTAACGTCTCCATTGGAGACTTTGTTGTTACTGTGTCTGGCATATCGAATACATCACGGGTGGCTTGCCAGGCTCTGCCGTGCGGGCGAGATACTCTCGGTAGCTTGCCGGGCTCTCCGAGAGGGGCGGAGGAATCGAACTCGGGTCGGCCATGTTGGCTGCGTGCAAGGCAAACGCCCTACTGCTGTGCTATCGCTCCAGCCCCTATATATAATATATAGTAGAAGAATAATTCATGGCCAGCAAAAACAAGAGCTAGGAGGACTAGTCAGTGGTTGTAATCAATCACAGTGTGCGTGGGGTGGGATAGACGATAGGTAAGATAGAGAAGGGACCAGTATGTCAATAATAGCTGGAAATAATTACTCTGGACAAGAACTCAGTGTTAAAAATAAGTAAACAGATATACTTGATAACCTTTTAATATCTGTATTGCAAACCACAATGTCCAAAAGGAGAGAGGGGAGAGAGAGGAAGGGAGAGAGAGATGGAAAGAGGGAGGGAAGGATGGATGGATGGAGGGAGGGAGGGAGAGAGAGGGAGGGAGGGAGAGAGAGAGAGAGAGAGAACAAGAAGACAAGTTCCACTCATAGAGGCAGGCTTGTGGGGAGGAGGAGGTGACAGGAGGGAAACTGGGGACACTGTGGCTGGGAAATGTATACTGGTGGAGGGATGGGTGTTGGAACTCTGTATGACTAAAACCTAATCATGAACAGCTTTTTATCCCACTGTGATTCAATAAAAAAAAACTTTTAAAATTAACATAATAAATAAAAAAATAGAAACACTTTACCCTTCCTACTACTTTATTCACATTTTGGAAAGGAGCTAATATTAAAATATTTAATGTCTCATATACAAGGAACCGAGAGTTTTGTAAATCAGGATGGGAGAATCAAAAGATTAGAGAAGCTGCTTTTGCTTTTTCAATCATTGTGGAAGTATTCAACATTCTAACAATCAGAGAATCTTTTCTTATTTTGTTTTGTGTTTGGATCACAACCGGCTGTGTTCAAGGCTTACTTCTGGCTCTGTACTCAGGGATCACTCCTGGTTTGGGAGGCCATATGGGGATTAGGGGGGTCAAATCTGGGTCAGCCATGTGCAAGGCAAGCACCTTACCCACGATACTACCTCTCTAGCCCCTACAATCAGAGGTTCTTATAAATGCCTCTTTAGGAATATTGAAGGGAAGATTTACTCAGTAAGTGAATCTGTTTCTGGCATAGTGAAAAAGAGGCAGGTCTTTGACAAATCTAACCAGGGTCAGACATGAGCCCACTAATTTTCACATAGCTAGTTTACATGCTTCTTGAATAATAATAAGTCTTTGGATCTTCTAAAACACCCATCACAGAGCATCTGGAAATACAGATAGCCTACCTACAGAGGCAGATGAGACTCGGCTTGATAGGAGCAGACAGAGCAATCCAGGAGCTATGCCCTCTGCCCTCTGACTGATGAGGGAGAAGCCAGCTGCCTTGGGGGCAGAGACCCAGAGATGCGAGCAGCTGATTAGCTATCGCTGATGTCTTCTGGGAGATATCAGGACTCTGCCACTCTCCTTTGGTTCCCATGTGCGAGCTAAGGAATTACCCAGGTGATAACTACAGTATTAGAGAAGTACTTGACCTGTGGTTTCCTTGCACAATGAAATACCTATCCCTCCTAAGATACAGGATTATTGGCTCCATGATACCACAAAAATTGCCTATAAACTAAAGACGATAAACATTTTAAGTGTATGCCCTCTTGCTTAAGAGTAATTATACTATACTTTGTCATAAGTGGGAAATATTTGCATCAGGGAATTAATGAATTAATTTTTATTTTCAAATTCTGAATAAAAGAATAAGTTCTTTTTCTTTCTGTTTTATTTGTTGTTGTTGGGGTCTCAGGAGGCCCAGGGTCCTGTGGGAATTTTTAATCAACTGGGCCAGTGATTCAAGCAGGCGATGCTGCTTGGGCCATTCCAGCAGTACTTGAAGGCCTCCAGGGTTACAGCCAGTGGTACTTGGGGGGCAACAAGATCAAAGGCACTATCATGCTGTGTCCTGACCACTGTACTAACTCCCAGTCCCAGAATAACTATCTCAATAATCGGGCTTAATCCAGTGAAGCATGGACAGTTCCCTACTCTGGCTCTGTTTGTTCCCAGCCTTGGTTGACTCACTCCCTGCCTGAAATTTAGGGGCAATGTCACTCATTGCCTTGTCTACTAAAGTTCAGAAAAGAACTTTCTGGAAGAGAGCCATACAAACCTCTGCAGAATCCACCATCTTCTCTACCCCCCTTCTGTCGTTCTGAACAGTGTTGTAGGACGTGTACAGGCGGGGCTGCCGCATGTGTTCCGGCTGGGATGATGTCCCATGTAAAATCAGCTTCCAGTTCACAATCCTGCCTTCGTTTTGCATTCTTCCAGACTAGTAAGCAAGCACATAGTATTTTAGTATGTAATTCTGCATATTTACATCCAAGTACTTTCAGAGCCACTAAAAAGGATTTCAGAGATTAAATCTCATTTGAAAATTGTGCCAGGTTCTGTATACAAAGAAGTGAATCACCAGCTGCATTTTTTTGCTATGAAAGTTGATAGTTTAATGAGTGAATCTAAAGGGAATTGTGCTGAGCGAAATAACTCAGGCCAAGGAAGACAAGCCCTGTGTGATTTCACTCATATACATCATATGAACAAGGAAGTGAGCAAGCAAAACAAAAAAATAATAATTATTCAATTCAAAGGATACAGAAACAAGAGGAAAGGAGGGGTTAGGTGACTGAAATGCCAAAGGGTGGCTTGTAGAGTGGGCAGTCGATAAGCATAGTTTGCTAGTGTTCCTGATATAGTATAGACAGACATCACAGTGTGGTGCTGTGTACTTTGTATGACATTACAAGTGAATGCCACAGAGTTTTTTAAATTAACACTGCATAGGCTCAAAATTTTAGATTTTATCAGTTTCTCAATTAAAGGTCAAAATCACATTTCTATGCAAACAATTAAACACTAAAATATTATAACACCGTTTTAATATTGATGGAACTTCTTGAGCAGTGGAGTGTCCTTGCTATGAAAGGAATTGGATTTACTAATTATCAATTTGTTGGAACATTGCACTAAGGGGAAATTCAGTCTCTATGGTGTTATATTAGAGCACTAACTAGTCCTTTAAAGCAGTGTTTATGGGAAGTGTAATAATTTCCAAAGACTCGGCAATTAAGTTAAAGGCAATGTGCTGAGTGGCAAAGGGATTGTACAACAGGTAAGGCTCTTGTCTTGCATGCAGCTAACCCAGACCACCAGTCAACCCCAACTACCCCCATAAACCTCCCAAAAAATATTGTGCCGAAGTCTAAAATACCCTTAAAAAGCTAAAAGTACAGAAACGGATTCATGCAGACTTGAAACAAAAATTGTCCCCTCTAAGTAGGTAGATTTTCTTAGATCCCAGATGGTTCATTGACGTTAAAAAAAAAAAGTCAGGGACAGGGTGAAACTCAATGAGTGGTAAAGTGCCTTGTTGTCTGAATGAGTCCTGGGTTCATTACTTAACAAAGTAAAATGAAAACTGAGGTCAAATTCACAAACAGGAGGGTCTAGTAAGAATAACTCCCTGCTTCCCCTGTGAGTGCCGAAACATTTCACAACTTTCTGAATTCTTAAGATTAGCCATCTGTAAAAGAAAACTTCTCAGGAAAAAAAAAAGGGAACAAAAACTATCTAGTATCTAGTTTGTATCAATTTAACTGACACCTTCAGAAATTTAAAGTAATTGCTTTTCAAATTTTTTTCTTGACATTGCAATCTGGTGGAGCTTATACTTAAAAAAACTTCCTGACTTGGTGTTTCAAACCTGAAACACTCTTTCTTCGTTTATATGCTCGCTTATAGAAATTTCACAGAAATGATGCAGAATTAAGGATTTCAGCTATATATTTTATGACGATTTGAGCTTTGTTTTGGAAAGTCGTGATAGTAGTAAACTTAGAAAGGAATGAAAAATGCCTTTCAGTTTGTATCATAAATGAAACCAGAGAAAGTCATGTTACATAGGTCATCTTAAATGCTCAGGGATCACCACCTAGCAGTGGTGGGCACCATATTGGATGCGAGGGATCAAATCCCAGGTGGCTACGTGGCAGGCAAGTGCCTTACCTGCCATACTATCTCTCTGGCCCCAAAGTCACCAGTCTTAATACTACTTCAAAGGTAAAGGTAATGGTAAAGGCCCTCCCGTTGATCATCGATTTGCTCGAGCGGGCCCAGTAACGTCTCCATTGGAGACTTTGTTGTTACTGTGTCTGGCATATCGAATACTCTCAGTAGCTTGCCGGGCTCTCCGAGAGGGAATACTACTTCAAAGTGTTTGAAAATGAGCTTGTCTGTCTGCTTCCATTCACACTTACCACGTCTGTAATTTGCAAAGTCCAAGTCCCTATCGGGTTCTCGCCCCATGAATGAACAGACATGAAGTCCCAATTCTTAAAGCCGTTAGGAGATGAGTCCCGCTCTCTCTCAGCCAAGAGTACGGTGCTGGTTCCTATTTGCATGCAACAAATCCAAATTAATGTCTGTGCGACCAGTGGTGTTGTAGAATTCACTTTAATTGCTAATTACTGAAACTGAACGTTAGGAGAGATTAGCCCTCCTGATTTTCTTTTTCAGAGTAAAACCAGGACTAGGGCATTCAAAGATAAAATTATGTTTTATTCATAATACTTAGCATATTGTATGGCATACAATAAATTCTCAGTAAATGTTGTGGAAAATAAATACTGAATAAATAAATAAATCGATTAAAGATTATTTGAAGACAACTCAAAGGACAGCATTTAGAAGCTATATTAGAGCGTAAAACGCAAAATAAATTTTATTGGAACTTAATCTTGAAATTTTAATGGCTGCTTGAATCTACAATCTAGTATCAACATAAAAAAATTCTTGGCATATAAAAATGACTAGGAGGAGTAACTAAATTTGTTCATACATGTCTTCCATAGATCAATAAAACTGTATTACTTTCTAAGTGAAAGGGTCAAATAAACTGCATCAATAAAAAAGAATTTCATCAACATTTCAGTCCACTTTCAAGATATTCAGAAAACATAATTCCAGAACTGAGAAGTTTGTATCTTGGAAAGAGTTTACATAGATATCTCACTTTTCTCATACATTAACTACACTGAATATAGTTAGTTGACACCTCTGAAACATAAAGGAGTATGAGACAGTGTCTCCTGGTTGAAAGGTGGCTTACTGCTGATGCACCCATCTTCACCTTGTGTCTCAGAGAGAGTGGATAGCACATCAAATTGTTATGGACCATTCATCTTTCATCTCTTACATAGATCAGAATCCCCAATTTACAGCAGAGTCACGAATGGGTCTGATATCTCTATCAGTTTAACTAACGAATTAATTTCCAGACGAACTTTTATTAATGCATTATATAAGAGCAAGAGACGATACATCAGAGACACGAGGAAAAGTATACGGTTCAAAATGCAGACACTAGAGTGTTAATTAGTTGGTTTTATTTGCCTCTCTCTCATCCTCTATTTATCTAAGGAGCAGTGAGGCAAAGCAGAACAGAGTTTCAGCACCATGAAAAAAATCAAATATTTTTTTAAGACTTGAAACTATTTATTGGGACACAGTTCTCCAAATAAAGAAAAAACACTCATCTATTTAAAATAATTCCATTTACATGAAAAATTTTTGTTTGTTATTTTTGGGCCATAGCTGTCAGTGCTCAGGGCTTGCTCAGGGATCACTCCTGGAAGAGCTCAGGGACCATATGTCATGCCCAGAATTGATTCTGGGTTGGCTGCATGCAAGGAAGATACCCTACCTGTTGTACTATCACGCCGACCCAAAATAAAATTTTTAAACAAATGGTTTTAAGGTAAGTTCTAAGGGTAAAGACTTACCTGCAGCAGAAGTGAGAGTGACATGAAGGTCTCCTCTTCTGGAATATTCAATTGTTGCTTCAAATTGGACGTGCTCCAGAGATTTGATAGCATTTTCTTGTCCCTCACAAGCTCTTGTTGGGATTTCAATGATGACTTCTCCATTGGCTTTCAGGGCTCTAAGTATGTTCAAGAATCATCACTGAATAGAATGGATTTTTCACATTTTATGCAAATATCTGCACATGAGTGTTGAATGGGGAATCAAATAACCATGTTCTCCCTTTCAGTATAACATGTTTCAGAATCAACTACAAATGATTTTGATGCATAGGATAAGGTAAGCTATTTACAGAAGTAGAAAAAGTAATTATATAATTCTATCTTATATATATAAAATCACAGAAGAGTAGTCAGATCAATCTTGAGGAGGGAAAATCAAGGAAAGAAGAAAATTAGAGGCTATATTTTTCCTGATTTCAAACAGGAGTAATGGAGCAGAGCAGAAAATCCAGAAACAAATCTATGGATATAAGCTAATTGGTATTTGTCAAGAACCTAAGAATACTCAATGGAGAAAGGGCAGTCTCTTCAACAAAGAATGCTGAGAAAATCTTATGCAACGCTATTAAAAGAGCCCTTATCTAATACCATATACAAAAATCTCTGTAAATTGGATTTGGCTTAAATTCTGAAATTTTCAAAGCCTTAGAAGAAAACATATGAAAAAGATTTCATCACTTATCAGCAAAACATGACGCTGAAACATTTGATGTATGATATTCTTGGCAATGATTTCATCTACACAACACCAAAAGAACAAGCAACAGAAAAAAATAAGTGCATCTACACCAAGCTAAACCATTTCTGCGGGGCTGGAGTGATAGTACAGTGGGTTTTTGCCTTAAATTCAGCCAACACAGGTTCCATCCCTGGCTCCCCATATCCCTGTCACTGTCACTGTCCTCCCGTTGTTCATCTATTTGCTCGAGCGGGCACCAGTAACGTCTCCATTGTGAAACTTGTTGTTACTGTTTTTGGCATACCGAATACGTCACAGGGAGTTTGCCAGGCTTTGTCATGCGGGTGGGATACTCTTGGTAGCTTGCCAGGCTCTCTGAGAGGGGTGAAGGAATCGAACCCTGGTTGGCCGCATGCAAGGCAAACGCCCTACCCTCTGTGCTGTCGCTCCGACCCAGCTCCCTATGTAGGCTATCAAAACTTTCAGGAGTAATTCCTGAACACAGAGGCAGAAATAACCTCTGAACATCGTGAGTGTTGCCCAAGAACAACAACAAAACCAAATAAACCATTATTGCATAGCAAAGAGAAACAATCAACAATTTAAAATGGACAAGTTACATGGGAAAAAAAATCTGCAAAGCATGTATCTGATAAGGGCTAATCCATAAAATATATCAGCACTCCTACAATTTAAAATATTCTGGCTAACTATCGGATTAATTAATGAGTTTAGGACTGAGAGAGACAATTTTCCAAAGAGGACATATAAATGGCCAAATATTTTAAAATGCTCAACATTAATGAATGCTATGATTAATTAATCACCATAGAAATGCAAATCAAAAGCACAATTAAAAACACCTGCTGCATATCAATAATCTATTTTTTAAAAGGATAAGTGTGAGTGAGGATGTACAAAAATTCAAACTGTTGCACATTTATAGGGAAGAAATAATGTATCTACTCTGAAAACAACAGCATGGAGTTCCTCTAAAAATTAAAAATAAAGCTCCAGTAATTCCACTCTATATATTTCCCAAAAATAACTTGAATTAGAATCATGATGCTATCTTTCATCATGCTGAGTGAGGTCAGAATGAAAGGGAGAGACACAGAATGCTGTCTCTCATTCATGGAACTTAAAAATTAAAAAAATAATAATAAAAATAAAAACAGAAGCCCCCGCCCCCCCAAAAAATACACAGCCAGTTTTTCATAAAGATTCAAAGGTCACTGTTAATAGTATTGTAAAACAAAAATATGCTAATTAAAATATTTTAAATTTAAAAAAATTCAGTGCCGCTCATAATAGTCAATAAGTGAAAATACATAAAATGTTGAGATGGAGGAATAATATTTCTTAAATGTCATGAATGCACTTGGTGACTCAAGGGCTCATTTTGCATATGGGAGGACCAGATCTGATCCCCAGCACTTTATGATCCCCTGAGCACCTCTGGGCATTTCTAGCTATGACTCCAAAACAAGAATTAAGTGTTAAGTATATATGGCAGAATATTGTGCAATACTCAGCAATATAAATGAAACTTGAAGACATTACATTAAGTGAAATAAGCTAGTCTCAAGACTAATTCTTATATATATAAAAGAGTCAATTAGCAAATTCAATAATATTTGCCTATAATATGAGAAATAAATCAAGAGTACACAATCAACAGGCATAAAGCTTCATTAGTTTGATGAATAAATTCTGTATCTCAACTGTACATTCAGATCACAGATCATCCTGTTATTCGTCGATTGCCTCGAGCAGGCCCCAGTAACGTCTCCTTCATCCTAGCCCTGAGATTATATTCAAGGCTCTTTAGGAGAATGAGACCCATCATTGTGACTGGTATTTGGCATATTGGGTACGCCACGGGGAGTTTGCCAGACTCTGCCGTGTGGGCAGGCTACATTCGGTAGCCTGCCAGTTTGTCAAAGTAGGAATGAGATGTCATAATAAGATTATGTCACATAATCATCTATGTGACAATAGTATCTTATTATGGGTTCCGGGAGCTGGTTTTTATAGTCTCTGAGTCTTGGCCACTGATGGGATTACACTGATCAACTGTACATTATTGTAAGTAAATAGTAGTGTATCATAGAGTTTTTTTAAGATGTTAATCTGGGGGCTGGAGCTATAGCACAGCAGGTAGGGTATTTGCCTTGCATGCGGCTGACCCAGGTTCAATTCCCAGCATCCCATATGGTCCCCCACGCACTGCCAGGAGGAATTCCTGAGTGCATGAGCCAGGAGTAAGCTCTGTGCATAGCTGGGTGTGACCCAAAAAGAAAAAAAGAGAGAGAGAGATGTTAATCTGATGTGTCCTTACCACAATAAAATAAACAGAATAGTTTTAAAGTGCAAAGTAAAAACAATGATAAGAAATAGATGCCAAATAGTATGGCATTTGCTGTGAAATCAAATTCAAACAGATTTGCTTTGACCTCATCAAAAATCGGTTCATTAGTGCAACAGACCCTTATAATAAATTATTATATTTTCCTAATGTTTACTCTGTGGCCCCCTGCTTATGAATATTTTATGTTAATAAAATATTCATATTTTATTGAATATGAATAAGTCTTCAATAAATTCATGTTTGCCTTGGTAGGATCAATGAAACAGTCATACTAGATTCTGTTCCTGTGGCCGGTTATGGGAGATCTTTGTAAAAACATATTTCCAAAAGGGTCCTTCATGGAATAAAAGCAAGGAATCCCACTGTACTATGGTATGAAGTAAGGCTTTTTTGGAAGTCAATATGGGATAATTATGATGCATTTCATCAATACTGGAATAGTTTTTTTTAGTTATTGTCTTAACATCTTTGAATTTGGAATCATTCAAAACACTGGGGATTGTTAATGGTTAAATGATTGTAAATAAATAAATCATCTATGTGGCAATAGTACGTAAAAATAATACATTCTATATTTAGTACTATATGATAGGTAGACTATAAGAGGAAAAGAAAATGCAAATGTGCTAATGTAACTTGAAGTTCTTCTGGTTTTTGTTTTTGTTTGTGTCTGAGACACATCTGACTGTGCTCAGATCAGATCCTGGTTCTGCACTCAGGAATCACTCCTGGTGGGGGTAGAGGAAAATATATGATACCAGAGATTGAACAAAAATCAAGTGTGTGCCTTGCATACAAGATAGCTACCTGCTATATTATGCTTAGAACCCAATTCACAGGTCTTTGGTCTCAAATATTTCCCAGGAATCCACACTTGGAAATTCCACCTCCCTCTATCGAAATCGAGGCGAGGACAAAAATATGCAGCAGAAAAAGCATCAAGATTCAATAGTACCATAGGCACATATATGTCTGAAATTCCTGAAGACACTCACCTGGGCTGAAAGTCATTGTCCTTCACAACACACTCTTTCTTCTCAGGCACACTGGTCCAGGTCCGGGGGTCAGCCAAATCCACCAGGGCTTTGGCATTTAACAACCCAAATCCAAACCGACTGTTCACCATTAAGCCTGCTCCATTCTTTTTCCATCCTGGGTTGTTAGCCAATGGGTCGTACTCGGAGGTCCACACAACTAAGTGTTGCATATCTCGCCAGGTGAGATTTGGACTGGAAGAGTGAACCAGAAAACCATTCAGAAACAAAGTAAGTTTCTTTGCAAGAGCAAGTGCTGAAAATGAACATTCCATTCCAAGATGATGCTGTAGGGTTTGCAATGGTGTACATGTAACTCAGTGTGTGTTACTGTTGGTATATCTTTTCATCCAGAGTTCAAAACACAGTTCTGAAAACTTCACCCCACACCATTTGTAATCAAGCATTTGCAGTAATATTTGGTCTTCAGCGTTGTACAGAACGTGTTTCTGCCTTCTAAGTGCTTTGGCTGGAGTGACAATTTTGTTTGCTTGCTTGTTTTTATTTTAGGGTCACATCTGAAAATTCCCAGGCATTACTCCTGGCTCTGCCCTCAGGAATCACTCCTGGTGAGCTTGGGGAAACAGATGGGATGACAGAACGCAGTCTGGCCACTTGCAAGGCTTGGTCCCTGTCTGCTGGACTATCTCTCCGCCCTCTTAAGTCACAGTTTAAAATGACAACATGATATGTCTTACTGTCTCTTGCTATCTACTATGCACATAGAACATGCTGACCCTATGGACAGGTCATTGACTTAGGTTATTAGAGATGCAGCCTAGCTACCCGTGCTAAAATACTGTTTACTACTTTTCTTTATATTTCAAAATTATCAAGAAACACAGTTACTTGAGATCACTCTGCAAAGCACTGTTCTGAATATCATAGGGAATATTCAGGAGTTGGTTCTTGACTTTAAGATGCTTACAAGCTAGTAAAAGAATGAAATCTTGGAACTTGAGGGTTAATACAACAGCTTAGGCACTTGCCTTGTACTTTACTGAGTTCAATCACCAGCATCACATGTGGTCCCTTGAGCACAGACCGTAGTGATCAAGTCAAAAGTACTTCCTGAACACAACTGTGTATGGTTCAAACACACACAAAATGGATATTTTTCATGATTGTTATTTCTCCTGAATGATGTTTTCATGGCATTTGTTTGGGATTGTTGGAGTAAGAGAAGAAAGGGTTTTTTTGGTTTGTTTTTTTAAGAAAAAGCTAGGAAGACTTTCTGGGAGAAAATATTTTAAATTCAATTTGTAGAGTGGGTTAGAATGACTAAGTGAAGCTAAAGAAAAGACGATGAAGCGACAGAACAAAATTGGCTGGAGTTGAGGGGTATTGATGTTGTATGGCCCTGCAAATAGTCTGGATTGTTGATGTAGTAAAGAGTTGACGGGGACACTGAGAAAGATATGGAGGGCTCTGAGTATCAGCAGAAGGAACATAGCCCTTATCCTTTGGGAAAGGGGGACTCGTCAGGAATATTGAGCAAGGACGCAAGCAATGTGAGATTAGTTTAGCAGCAGTAGAAGGAGAAATCAGAGATTGAGGGGGTTGCTGGGCCTGAAAATATGAGGATGTATTCTTCCTTCCCTGATTCCCATTAACATTTCTGCATTCCACGTGCCTGAACTCTTATCCTACCACACCTTTTGCCTTTCACTGCTACCCGTTTTGCCTTTCTTTACATTTTTTTACCTTCCAACATACCGGGGAACTCGTTTTTGTGTTTAAGTCATGTCTACCTCCCCTGCGAACAATAGTTATGAGAAGAGCTGACATTTTCATTTCTTGTTCTCTGAAGTTAGCCGAGCACTCAGAAGAATGCAAGCCACAGGGTAAATACTGGCTGGATGAGTGAATGATTGGATGTGCTAAGTACCAACTAGCTGCAAACATAATTTTAAAACATATTATTAGTAACATTAGCTACTTCAAGGTCGCAAACTTTTTTCTTAACTTTGAGACCTGTGTTATCTCTGTTAAGGCAATCAAGCATTATTTTAAAAATGCATGCCGACAAATTTAGTCCTTGAGTTTTCTGTCTTATCATAAGATTGTGAAATAATCATAGGCGAAATTGGATTCAATTAGCTAACTTGAAGCCGGAGACATAGTACAGCAGATAGGGCTCTTGTCTTGCACACACCCAATCTGGGTTTGATTCCCGGTACCACTTATGGTCCCCGGAGCATGTCAGGAGTGACCCCTGAGCTCAGAGGCATCAGCAAGCCCCTACCACAGCCAGGTTGGCCTCAAAGCAAAAAAAGCAAATTTCTTACTTCTCCCCAGAGAATTAAATGTGGCTTGCTGTCAAGAAGCTGGCAACATGCACTCTTAAACATTGAGGAGTCTAGCTCCTTATGGAAAACTCAGGCTTTGTGCTAGTAGTGCCAAGGTTCTCTCTCAGGGACCTCACACAAAGCTGCTCTCAACACACTATGCAGTTTCCACATCCTGGCCAACTCTAAGTAGGGCTGCAGTTAAGAACTCAGGCTGCTTCCACTGGTCAGCTCTTCTGATTTCATATTCCTGACCCCTGCACCTTCCCAGTCTTTTTATCTGGGACATTGGTGAAAACAGACTTCTGGGGGTAGGAGGGAGAAGTTGAAGCAAATACCTCACTAACTCAGTATCCAGTACTTTTCCACTCCTAAATTTCTTCATTTGTCCTACCCCTGTCTGGGAAGCTATCACAAATAATAGACTAAATACAAAATGGCTTGGAGCCTGAATAATAGCACAATGGGTAGGACACTTGCCTTGCATGCTGCTAACACAGATTCATTCCTTGCCATTTTATATGGTCCCCCAAATATCACCAAGAGTAATCCCTGAGTGCAGAAGCAGAAGCACATCTGAGCATGGTCCCAAAACAGAACAACAATAACAAAACAACAACAAATCTTTTCTTGGGGTATTATGATCTCTTATGCCTTAACTGACCCTCCACTGGTGTAGGGGTGGCACAGAGGAGGCAGCAACTTCTCTGGTTTTACACTTTGCTGCACACATGACTTCTGGTTTGGTATTTTAATGGGTGACTGACACCAGGTAGCCCAGCACAGTTTCAGTTCAACTAACTGAAGTCCACAAAGCAACGGGCCCCAGTCCTATATCTCAAGTCATCCAGAGCACTTAGAAATCATCAAAGCTAAACCTCTGAAATCGGTCATCTTTAAATACAGCATGACTTAGATTTTTATTTGAAAGAACCTCTCTTGCCAGTTCAGTGGGTTACGTGAAATAACAGGAGTTAGAAGAAAGATTCTTAGCATGCAATCAATAAAGGGAATTAGAAATTGTTTGAATTCACAGTGTTAGAATAGGGAGTAGTAGGGAGCATCTTAAACCATATTCTACTACCAAAGAACTGAGTCACCTTAAGTAAGTCCTTTTATCTTTCTAGGCTTATGATAACTCATCGTTGAGATTATGAGAGGGTTGAATAGGGCTCTCTCAAAGTTCCTTATTTCAGACCCCTTAGCTGCCCAATGTCATAAATATTTCACTGTGGATCTTTGTTTCCTCATTGACCATTCCACACTCGGGAATAATTAACTGATCTGAAATGGCCATTCTTTTAATAATAGTCATGCAGAAATGAATTCTGTCCTATGAAGCAATGGTTTTTTCAACCATTGGTCCATAGGTATAAAAATAAATGTTTAATGCCATTCTTACAAAGCATTTTGTTGACATTCTTGCTTACTTCCAGTCTTTAAAAGAGAATTTTCTGGGAATTACTCTTGCAAGACAGTCAATAAACAACATGGCAGTTTACCGATGGGACCATTAGCGTGAGCCGGAGTGTGCACGGAGGCTGGGGAGGGGAAGTATACAGAGGAGATATGAGATCAACAGCATTAAAGAACCAAGCACAAAAGCGATGTCTTCCTATAGCAGAGCATTTATTTTCTGTTTAGTTGCAGCCTTTTATTTTCCTATAAAGTTTTTTCAACCTTTTCTTTATAAAAAAAAATTCAGTGAGACTTCATTGTCACACAATTAGAAAAATTAAGCCAATTTTCCAAGCAGAGTTACTGTTCATTTGTGTGATTGTGTTTCATAAATGAAAAGGAGCTGCTAACAATAGCATGTCTCCTCTCCGACAGCCTTCCTTGGTTAATTAGGGTGCAATAGCATCCAAAAATTTAATTACATTTTAAAAAAAACCCTATTTGGTGGCTAATCAAGGATCATATTTAGAGAAAATAAAGGTTATGGAATTAAACAGTGAATTTTAGCATTGCTTCTAATTAGAAGAATGCAGGACAGTAACCTGGAGACAGAATTCTGAAATGAAAAATTCCTAGGGACCTGCTTCGCCTCTGATCACATGTTGGTAAGCTCAGATGCTGAAGATTGTCTAACCAGGAAATGTTCAATAATTCATAACTTACTAAATTAAAGATTCCTTTAATGTAATCTTCCCCAAAGTTTTATACAAAAGCATTTAAAGTCCATTTTCCTTTCTCTAATCTTTAATAAAAATGGAAGACTGGTTCATTTGTTCAGTTCTTTCAAAGATGGTAAGGGACTGAAAGTTTCACTTTAGAATTTTTGTTGTCTATTAAAAATGATACTGAGTTGGGGTCTGGAGAGATAGTACATAGAGCTCTTGCCTTGCACATGGCTGACTAAGGCTTGACCCCTGATGTCCCAAATAGTACTCTGAGCACTGCCAGAGGTAATTTCTGAGCACAGAGGACAGGAGTAAGCCCTGAGCACCACTAGGTATGATCCCAAACCCCCAAAATTAAGAAATAAAAATTCTATTGATCCATTTCCTCCCTCCTCAGATGACCAGGATTATTGTTTGTCATTTTTCATAGTTATACTCATTTTGTAATAGTAGTAGTAGTAGTAGTAGTAGTAGTAGTAGCAGCAGCAGCAGAACTGTCATCCCATTGTTCATCAATTTTCTTGAATGGGCACCAGTAACATCTCCATTATGAGACTTGTTGTTACTGTTTTTGGCATATTGAATTTGTCACGGGTAATTTGCCAGATTTTTCCATGTGGGCGGAATACTCTCCGTAGCTTGCCGGGCTCTCGGAGAGGGGCAGAGGAATTATGAACAATTATCCAAGAAATTTGTCATTTGGGATGTAGATAGTTATTATTACAGTTTAACTTATAGTCAGAGATATAGCCTTCCAAGATGTGCTTACTAAGTACTCTAATGGACATTTCATAATCACAACTGGATGAGGTTGTGGGAAAGCAGACCTGTAAATAAACTCTCATTAGCAAATGATTCTCGAAGTGCCTATGTAGGCCAGGCCATGGTTGAGGGCTGGAATGCAGGCTTTGCTTACTGGAAGTTCGTGTTCAATCCATGCTCCCCTGAGCACTGCTGAGAGTGAGCCCCAAAAACCTAGTCAGGAGTAGTCCCTGAGCACTACTGGGTTTGACCTAAAAACAACAACAGTAACAAAAAACCCCCAAAATCTTCATTTTATGTCACATAAATGTTAGAATCAGTGTTGTATAGAAGAGGTCCTGCACAGAGCCCTGCCTAGAGGTAAGAACCTGATCAATAGTGAGCTAAATTTATTCCAAATACATTTAACCCAGAGACTTCAATCTCCTCAGATGTTGCTTGAAGAATGACATGTGGTTAAATTATCCTCTCTAACCCTGAGTATTTAGTCTAGAAGAAACATTTATATTCATGTTTCTTTGAAATTATCATCTTAGCATGGTATATTGACGATAGTTCAGAAAACTATCCACTTGAGAACTGATATCTTAATAATCTGTGTGATTTTATAGGAAGAATATAAATATTAAGATAAAAATTTTCTCTATTACAAATAACTTTATAACACTGAAAGTAGTTAAATTCCTGTTATTTGCACCAGATGATAGACTCATAAGGTAAGGTAAAGGTAAAGGTAAAGGCCCTCCCGTTGATCATCGATTTGCTCAAGCGGGCCCAGTAACGTCTCCATTGGAGACTTTGTTGTTACTGTGTCTGGCATATCGAATACTCTCGGTAGCTTGCCGGGCTCTCCGAGAGGGGCGGAGGAATCGAACTCGGGTCGGCCATGTTGGCTGCATGCAAGGCAAACGCCCTACCTGCTGTGCTATTGCTCCAGCATAATGTCTATTAAATCCTGAATAGTAGGAGAAACTGGTGGAGAGACTGGAGAGATAGGACAGCACTTGTCTTGCCAGGGTGCACCCAGGCTTGACATCTGGTACTGCAGAGTTTCCTGAATGCAAAAACCAGGTATAAGCCCTGAGCACTGCCAGGTGTGGCCCAAAAAGGAAAATTAAAAAAAAACTGGGAGAATCTATAAATGATTCTCTGGGCAGGGGGAGGGAAAATGCCACACAAACACTCAAAAACAATTCTGCTCATTATTTCAAAGAAATTCACGAACCACAAGCCTTCATTGAGCCCCTGCTTTAGAAATAGTCCACCAGAAGTAAAGTGATATTGAAGAGGTCATTCTTAGGTCATTTTCTCCTCATATGAATAAAAGTTTGAAATTTTAGAAACCAGAGATCACAATCTTAAAATTGTAGCTCTTCTGCGAAATGAGCATCATATCTGTTCAGCTAAGTAGGTATTTGTATTATATTTGTCATTAGGCAAGAAGGGAGTAAGTCTATCTTATTTACATAAATTTGATAGGTATGGCTCTTTTTTAAGGCTTAAAAGTAAAAAGATGGTTTTCTTTAAACAGCTTCCCGGTCTTGAAATCATAAAATATCATGAACCTGTTTTACCATCTGTATCTAACTGCTTGTCTTCATAGAATCTTTTTGTTACTCCTTTAGATCCCTCACCAACTTCAATAGTTCATGTTGGATAATCCATGTTTGCGGGCACCTTCCATTTCAAACTTGAGACTCTTATAATTAATGAAATATGATTGAAAATAGATGATCCTGCCTGAGTCCTCTATTTTATAGATGGTTAATTGAACCCTCAATTTTACCGAAGGTCCATAGCTAGTGATATATCTAGAACTTAAGGCCACGTGTTCCTAACATGTTTCACCACTAACACAGTGTTTACTCAAATTTTGTTTGGCTCTGCAGATTCTGGCCCTAGGTTCCATTCAGAGTTCGCTCTCTTTCCATCATCTTCACATCACAAGTGAACGTAGATTCTGCACATAGAATCTGTGATCCCATAGAATCTAGAATCGTATCCCTCTATTTCTCACTGAGCACCTAGACTTGCTATGCACTTCTAGCCATCTTTCCTGTCCTTTTGAGGAACTGGGCTCTTAGCACAAGTCTAGCTGCTCTCTCTTGTTTCAGCTCCCATAGCTAACTCACAGATGAGATGCAGGGGCTTGTCCAGAGCTCCGTGGGAGAACCCTGGCCGCTGAGCACCACTGCACAAAGGATCAGCAATTTTCAGGCTTTGCCAGCCATGCCATGCAGCCAACATGTCCTGTTCTTTTGCTGCTCTGAACCACTGAGTATGACATGGCAGGCTGCTTGGTCCTCTGCTAAAACCAGGTAGCTGTTCTTCTAGGATAATTTTCCTACTGGAAGGAATAACAATAATTTGCAAGCTTAATCAGTTCCTTCCACATGAAAGCATAGAATCTGAACTGTCACTGAAAGATTTCTCACTACCCAATATTAGAATGCAAAAATGAGGACAAATAAAAAGCTGTGAATATACAGTGTAAGACAGATTTTTCCCCTGTATTAATTATAGGACTATTTGGTATTTCATAAGAAAGAAGAAATGCTGGCAAATTCCTTTTCACATCACATATTAAAGAAATTTCAGGGCTGTTTAAAATTTAAATAAGGTAGAGGCGCCATAATAAAAGACATAAATAAAGGTTTATCTAATTTGAAATTGTAAAGATTTTTTTAAGATAAAAATGAAGAAAAAGGCCTTTTTCAGAAAAGAAATTGTCAAATGTAACCATATGTGTAGCACTTTTATTTCATTTAAAGCTAAATGTAAATTAAATGAAAAGATAGAAATGTCAAACTAACCTAGCAGTAATAGCTTTCCTTTAAAGGCCCAAAGACAAAATCAAAGTCTTAAGCAAAAACAAGCTAAATGATCAAAGAACATCAAAAAAAAAAGATTCATTAGTAATGAAGTCAGAGCACATAAAGATTTCCACCTATCAAAATAAGAAACATTTAAAGGGTAATAAAAGCTTTGGGAAGGGTTTAGAAAAATAACAATTTAACTCAGCCGCTACTAGTGAAAACACAATCTGCTGCAGGTTTCTTCATAGCAAATTGTCAGTTAGTCTCAAAACTATTACAACAGACAGGCCCTGTGACCCGGAAATTCTGCTGAGTGTTTACCCAAGGAAATGATCAGAGACGAAAACCAGCATTTATAGACAAGGTAGACAAGGGTGCTGAAGTGTGACTAGGAAAATTCAAATAAATTTACATTTGTATAATGGATTACTATGAAAATCTGAAAATCCTGTTTTTATTTGTCGTGCCCCCCTGGCGTATTATACCAGTTATAGAATTTGAGGTGGGCGGAGAGATTGCCTGATAAACTTGTCTCTGACACCACCTTCAGGAAGTCACCCAGACCAGATCTTTTCTGGGGAGTTGAGAAGGCCTGGCCTCCAGTGGGAGCAAGAAAGGCCGGACAGCATGAGTTTTAAAGGTCAAGAAACATCGATTGGGAAATGAGAATGTGCGCTTAGTATCTCTCAGGAAGGATTCAAGAAATCCCAAAGCAATCTGCACATGCTAATAGTGGAAGATAACACATATTAAACTCTCTTTGAGACATGAGGAGAAAAAGCCGATTTTCATCATTTTTCTGCTGCTTTCTCCTTTTTGGGCAATAACCTGACATTGAGAAAAGAACAAGCTCAAAAGGAGAAGCAGCTTAGCAAAAGTGCCTAGAAATTTCTGGGCCTTACTTAGCTTCCAGGGCCAGAGCGAAGATGCCCGCAGCCAAGGGTGCAGAGGCCGAGGTGCCGGTGTGGGTCTCCGTGCAGTCATTGTGCAGGTCCGCGCTTGTCTACAGTACCAAAAAGAGAAGAGACAGCAGAGTAAGGGGTGATGTCCTCCCCGGTCAACCACGCGGAAGGCTGCTGGGATCAGGAAGCCAGCTGAGCTGAGTTCCTACTTCCTCCTCTAACCACGGGCGGATGCTCGCCATCTGTCGATATTTCAGTTCACTCTCCTCTATATGCAACTTGCCTATAATTCTGGCATTAGGATGCCTTTTCTGGTGATAAAGTACTCCCACTATGAATAATTTCTCTTCTGAGATTCTCCAGAGAAATGCTGTCTGTGAAAACGGAGTGTTTCGAAATCTCCGTGAATCATGTTGGCCCACTAATCATCAGGTCCATTGTGTTTGGTCTAGCAGAGCTAGAAGCTCTGCTTCATACAAAACTCCCTTTTGCTTTGAGGTTGCCCTTTGACCCGCCTCTTTGGCACAAGCTTGTCAAGCCATCCTGGTCTTCGTCCTGGTGACTTGCACAGAATCTGCTTACTGTGAGGCTCGTGGTCCCTGTCCAGCTGAGCTGAGACCCATGAACCAGTGTCCCATCTGTATTTGGGCATAGATGGTGAGTTTTTCAAACGAAAGGTCAATTGCATTGAAATCTGGGTTTAGGTTCTAAGGAGTAACTTGACTTTCCCATCTGTGAAATAAGGCTGATTTCTTTTCTTTCTTTTTTTTTTTTTTTAGTATATTGATTAACTTATTTGATTTGAGGCAAAATCAAAATTATTACTCATGATATGGCTTCACGTATTCAACATTTCAAATTCTACACCCTGTACCAGAGTATCTTATTCCCTCCACCACCGTGCCAGGCAGGGTGCCCCTCCCTCTCCTCCCCCCTCCCCACCCCCTGTGCAACCCACCCCACCCCCAACACACACACACACACACACACACACACACACACACACACACACACACACACACCCCATCTACCTGAAGCAGGCAGGTAGATATGGAAAGTTCCCCCATGGAAATGAATCCTTGGGAAGTAATAAAACTAATAGCCCCAAGGTTTCAAAAACCCACTTGTGAACACAAGAACTAAGGCCTGATAAGACAACACAGACCCAGAGCAGGCTGGACCCCACCCCCCACCAGAAGTTCAGGCAGAAACAAAGGCCAGGGAAGGAATTTCAAAGAAGATTACCAACGACTGCCAACTCTACCCCCTTGGCAACTACCTTAGCAAAGACTCTTCCCTGGGTCAGAAAGCCCCACATGGTCCAGTCTTGAAGAAACCCTATAAAAGCCAATTTGAACAAAGGAAATGCACGCATATGCTGCCTGAGCACAGGCCCCATAGTCCACTCTCAAGATGGAGACTTTCCATGCTTTCATATCTAAATGCTGGGGTGTGTATTAGGGCTCCCTCTCCACTCTGCAGAAGCCCACCTTCTCTCTTGAGCATGTTAATCTCTCTCTCTCTGCGTCTCTTTGTCTCTCTCTGTCTCTGTCTCTGTCTCTGTCTCTGTCTCTGTCTCTCTCTCTCTCTCTCCTTTTAAGACTGAATTTCCTTTCTTGCAAGGAGCAAGGCTTAGAGTCCTTGATCCCGCAGCTTTTCCTGGGTGACGCAGGCAGAAGGAGAGAAACACCCGCTTCCCTTCTGAGGCTGCCACCTCTCTCCTCCCACCTCACTTATGTCAGCTGGGGACCCCACCGGCACCATACCACTTGCTGGCTGCGGTTAAGCTGAGATTCAATCTGGGAGAGTATTTTTTTACACAATATTTTTGTGACCCAAGCTAAGTTTAGCGAAATGAAGAGCTTTTGCTAAGATAAAACAAAGAAACCCAAAAGATCTCCCGTCCTTAAGAGCGCAGTGTGCAGCTCGATGAACGAGCCACAGGGCCAGAGGCTGAGCACCCCCCTACTCAGGATCAGCTCAAAGGCTTGGAACTCAAGTATGGGAGGGAGGTGTGAGAAAGTAATTCGTTCTTTTATCACCTCCTTTGGCTTCCCACTTGGAGCCGCTGGATTTCTCAAGCTGAGGTGGCTCCACTCCTCAGGGCCTGCGGAAGCAGAGTGCCCTTTTTACCTGTTGACGCAAGTGAGCCCCCAGAGATACTTTGCTGGGGAAGAAGCTTGCATAAGACAAAGGCTGTTTGACTGCGACCGTCTCAAATAGAAGCCACCAGCTATCTTGGATCTACCTCCAGAGGGATCTTTGCAAAGCTGGAAACCCTCCCTCCCACTCTAGCCTGGAGCAGTCTGCGATGGGGACGCAGTACCTAACAGCGCATTTGTTGAACGGTAGCTCCCAGCACCCACAGGGACCATAAGGCTGAGGCCACACCAGACACAGCCTGCTAAAAGGCTGACAAAGAGGTCCTGGATGGAAGGTCACCATGGGCTATACATGTAACCAATGGCAGGGCATGACAAGGAAGTCAGCACTTTCCTAGCCAGAAACCTGTGTCTGCACCAAGAGGGACTGCAGGCAGGCAGGGTTCCACAGCGTCACCTGGATGGAAAACATCTTGACAGTTTGATTGAGATACTGGAAATGTGAATGCCATGCGAGGCTCTGCCAGAGGTCTCATCACAACAAAACACCATCTAAATGGGTCCTAGCTTGTCATTTCCTGGGCGCCAGGGGCTGGGGACTACAGCTAGTTGGTTTTTCCTGTGTCCAGAGCTAACTTGGGGCTGAAAAGTGTTTCATTCCAAGTGCTTCTCTCTGTTCTCAGAGCAGCCGAATGGCCCTGGGCTGGAATTGCTCTTGGAGCTTCTAACTCCTGAGCTGCTTATTCGGACACTGAGAAGCTCTCCTTATGGGAAATCACACTGTTCTTCCCATGCCAGTTGTGTGTTCTTCGGATACATGGTTCTGTATTGCTATCAAACCTGCTAAGGAGTAGTAAGTCGAACCAGATCTCTGCTATTAAGGGATTAGTCAGGACAAGGGCAGTAAAGCACCCTACAGCCCTGAAATCGCCCTCCAGACCCTTTTCAGAAAGACACCAACTCAAGCATAAGAGACATTTGGAGTCTCAACTGCAGGTAATGGCAGGTTTGGTGACTTCTCAGGACTGAGTTCAAAAAAAAAGAAAGAAAGAAAGAAAGAAAAATGACAGAGTAGCAGCCTCCTCTCAGCTGAAGTGTCATTATCTCCACGAGAGAAAACTCGCCAATATGTCAGTCCGGCCAACAAACAGGTAAAACCTGTGATTTCCTCCCAGACACATCCTGCCTAAGAAAATGCACTTTACCCAAGGAACCGACCCCAGCGGCCTTCTGCGCTGCTGCCCGAGAGAAGAGTCGAAACAGAGCACGTACGATTCTCTGGTCGGTGTAGTCGCCACTGCTGTAGGAGGTGGCCAGGGTGGAGGAGCACTTCTCCGCGTACCAGGGTGACCGGCCCTGCTGCGAGGCGCTGCTGATAGAGATGGTATAGATGCTGTCGGTGTAGCCGTCACAGTCACAGTTATCTCCCTGCCGTCCCCCATTTCCCGAGGCCCAGACGAAGATGGAGCCTTTGCCTTGCCGGCCCTGTCAGAAAAACCAGAGACGTCATCCTCAACTGGGGTCATCTAAGCCCCAAATCCCCAACAACCCTGAGCAGAGATAGTAAGTAGTGTCTCCTTGAACTCCAGGCCCAGTCTGTGCTGGAGGCCCCCTGGGACTAGTTATCACCAGAGAGTCTGCCCCAGCCCTGCTGGCCCTCTGCTTCTGGTCCTTCGGGGAAGAGGCTGAGCAAACACTTGCCTTGCCTTCCTTGTCTGTATGCAGCCTCCTAATGTGGCCTTTAGCATTTGCTCGGCTCTTTTTGCACGCTTCCCTGGGCTTCTGTCACTATGTTCAAATCTTTGAACTTCCTCCCTTTCACTCTGCCTGAATCTTCTGGCTGACTGACAGAATGACAACATCAGGCATTATTCAGATGGGCTATGCAGCTGCATTTGAAAAAGGACTCTTCCACTGAATGGGACTCGTCAAGGCTACCCTTTCTCTATGATTTCTTCCAATTGATGCTCTCCAAAGTTCATGCCTTTGTTCATGCAGTGCAGAAGCTGACCATAAAGTCCTTGCAGGAATGCGCTGACCCCGAGGGAGTGAGCAGCACGATGATCAGACAGCTGCCCAGTCTGGGCAGTGGATGGTGGTGCACGCTCGTGCTTTTAAAACATACTGTCAGAGCATCAGAAAGACATCTCACTGGGGGGAGCTGACCTGATGTGAAAATCCTAGAGTAGCAAGAAAACAAGAAAGGCCATATGCAGAGGGTTTTTAAGTCAATATGCTAAAAATAGTAAATGTCTGTTGACCACCAGACCCATATACAAAAAACTCTCTTAAGTCTTAGTTTGTATCCCTCTGAAGAAAATCTGGCTCTTTTCAGATTTTAAATTTTGCATTTTAAAATCACAAAAGAGAACAACACATGCACAGCCAGTATTGTTTCCACATAAACTAAGTGCTTCTCTCTGTATCCACTGAGGGCCTAACCCATTCGCATCTCACCTGTTTGACACCATATTCAAAAGCCTTCTGGGCCAGTCTGCCAGGGCCCTCCACAGTTTTACCGTCATCATTGGGGCCCCAGCTCGCACTGTAAATATCCACGTGTCCAGGATTGAACCCAATGGAGCTTGCCTCAATGGCATCAGTTACAATTCCATCCAGCATCCTTATGCCTGAGCAGCAAAGCAAACAAGGATGTAAGCCAACGTCAGTGTATGGTAGGATGTCCTAGTGCACCCTGCAGCCAGTTCTAAAAGACCTCTTCAGAGGGCAAAAGCAGGGTACTTTAGGCCCTAACTGCTGGCAGCTTATACAGAAGTAGAAGTCACCACCTCTCTAAGTCCTTTTGTCTGCCCTTTAGAGAAGCTACCTGGGCTGTGTCATGGTCACAGTTGTCGGTGATGAAGGTCTCTCTAACAGCAGGAAACGAGAATGGCTGTAGAGCTTGCAGAAAGAGCCATCAGGAATACTAGCTCGCCCACTCATTCGTGACCATGCCCACCCCTAATGGCTGTGGCTTAACCTATACGACACAAAGGAACTTGCCCAGAAACTGCAGCTTGGAAAAGAAAAATAATCTGCCCACAATAATAGGACAAGAACAAATAGGGAAAGAACCCTGGTTTCTGAGCACTGGTGAAAAATAACCCAGAGGCCGTTCTTTTCTATGTTTGCTAAAAACATGTTAAAGGAACACGCTTCTTTTTCTTCTAAATAATCTCAAGGATGAGATCACTGCCATGGATTTAACTTCTGAGGAGGAATCATTTTTCATCAGGAGAAGGCAGACGCACAAGCTCTGTGTGCTTCCCAACAGGCTGTCAGCCATTGCCACTTAGGAATTCAAGAGCCATGAAGGAAAAAGCAAATTACATGAATCCAGGCAGTTCCTGGGTTATTCCTGGCTTGAGGCTGATAGCATAATGGAGTGTACAGTCAGTCTTAGTTTTTTCACACGACGACCTACCGTGGAGCAGGGTTAAGAAACCTGGAGCTGGGCTGGAGCGATAGCACAGTGGGTAGGGCCTTGCACGCAGCCAACATGGCCAACACAGGTTCGATTCCCAGCATCCCATATGGTCCCCCGAGCACCGCCAGGAGCAATTCCTGAGTGCATGAACCAGGAGTAACACCTGAGCATCACCAGGTGTGACCCAAAAAGCAAAAAAAAAAAAAAAAAGAAACCTGGAGCTGACATGATTGGGGCAGTCTTATTTGTGAAGAAAAAAAAAAAATTCCCAGCTCTGTTCCCTATTAGCTGTGCAATCTTGGGCAAGTCACTTAATTTCTCTGTGCCTCTATTTTTTTTAGCTATAAATGCAGATGATAATAGCTTATATGCTTGAAAGATATTCTATAGGCAGTCACCATTCTACAGGTTTTACATATGTGCACTCATCTATCTTCATGACAACTCACTGAAGTGGATGCTGTGCTCTTTTGTATTTTGGCAGGTGTCATGATTGAGACTCCTAAATAATTGTGACTTGTCTAAGGTCTCACACCTTGAAACCAGGGAACAAAAGCTTGAATCCCGAGATATGGCACTGACGTACATCCTGGTAACTTCTAGCATACACTGCCAATAGCATGCTGTAAGATGTATTACGAACAAGTAATCAGTGCCAAATAAATGAAAGCTACCATTTAAAAGTGCATGAGGGTGGAGCTGGAGTGATAGCTCAGAGATGAGCAGCTTTTGCACTGCTGAGTCTGGAGAGCCTCCAGCACTGTTAGGAGACCCCCACACACACACACACACACACAAAGCAAAACACATAAAAACCAAGTGGTACATTTTGGATTAATCCATCAAAGGATGAAGTAGTGGGAAATAAAACAGTGGACTTGAACCCTCAATGGCCACAGCCAGCTATTTTCCTGAGAATCTTGCTTCTGGTTACTCTCAAGTAAAAGAATCAGATTTCCTTCACAAACTGCAGTTACTGAGTTTGTCATGGGTTAAACCATCAATTTTCAGGTGTCACAGAGTACAGCAGGTAAGGCATTTTCCGGACATGTGGCTGACCAGGGTTAGATCCCAGCACTGCATGTGGTCCCCCAAATCCCACCAGGAGTTATCCCTTAGCACAGAGCCAGGAGTAATCTCTAAGCAATGCAGGTTGTTGCCCCCAATTTTTTTGAAAAGTCATTTTTTTCATTATTATATAATCTGTGCTCATGCTTTTGTTTTAAACTAAAATTTAACATGGCACTTGGAACATCAGAAGTGACCATCATAACGTAAAAGTGATTTGTAGAAGGGATCAGAATGTCAATAATAATTGGAAATGATCACTCTGGATAAGAACTGTGTATTGAAAGTAGGTAAAGGGATATACATGATAACCTTTCAGAATCTGTATTGCAAACCATAATGACCAAAAGGAAAGAGAGAGACAGAGACAGAGACAGAGACAGGGACAGAAACAGAGGCAGAGACAGACAGGGACAGAGAGACAGAGAGAAAATAAAAGTGCATGCCACAGAGGCAGGTAGTGCAGAGGGAGGGTTGGGAGGGAAACCAGGACATTGAGGTGGGAAATGTTAACTGGTTAACAGATGGATATTGTAACATTTATATAACTGAAACCCAATCTTGAACAACCTTGTAACTATATATCTCACTGTGGTTCAATTAAAAAAATTAAATAATAAAAGTGATCTGTATTAGGAGACATGTTCTATACACAACCATGGATATTTAAAAAGCTACACACAACCACATTCAAGGGATACTTATGTAGCGCTTAAGAGAGTGTTACTCTTATTGGCATATTCTACAACTAGTCTTTTGTTGTGGTTGTAGTTTTGAAAGCGAACTAAACTAAACATTTATAGTATAACTATGAAACCTGTGGTTGGGATTGTGGAAAGGGGGAGACAATTGCTCTGGGATCCTCTGAAGCTCTATACTTACCTCTTGGAACACGGACTATGTCAAAGTTATCAGGTCCTCCCATTGGTTCAATCAACAGAGGCCAATGACAACAGATTGCATAGCATTAGAAAGGGTTCTGGGATGATTACTACCTAGAAAAAGCTGTGGTTGTACTCAAGGTCACAGCTCGTACCCAATTGCTTTCTGACTCAACATGTTTCTGCACAAAGACACTGGCGGAAACAACTTGAGACTCTTAGTCCTTGCTCTCGAATATCACATCATTGGGTCATCATTAATAAATATGTTCTCTTGATTATTTAAAACTGTGCTATGAAATAAAGGACTATAAAATTGTGAGTCTGGAATAGTCTTGGCCTAATTGTTTCTTTTTCTTGTGTTCCCTTAGCAAGCACTCAGTGAACAAACCTTTCTAAAACGCAAGACAAAATAGGATTTTTGCCTAAAAGCCTGCCTCATGAGTTGAAGGAAAAGGTAGCTGAAATAGAGAGGGGATCAATGATGTTTGGAGGGATCATTGGGGATGGGAGATGTGTGCTAAAAGTAGATTAAGGACCAAACATGATAGCCTTTCAGTATCTAAACTGCAAAGCATAATGTCCAAAAGTAGAGAAGAGAGTATGGGGGAAATTTCCTGCCATAGAGGCAGGGGGAGGGCTGGGATGGTGGGGGGAGGGGGGTACTTGGGACATTGGTAATGAAAAATGTGCACTGGTGAAGGGATGGGTGTTCAATCATTGTATGACTGAAACTCAAACATGATTTGCAACTCTATCTCATGGTGATTAAAAAAAACCCTAAAAGATAAAAGCTATGAATATCCCAACCTCCACCTCACAAAAAAAAAATACAATCTTCAGCTATCATTTTCTTCAAACCTAGATGCACTGATTTGCTTTCAAATCACACTCAAATTCCACCATGAATTTTACATGGAGTTTGTTTCTTGATCTGGCTGTTGAAATCCCACCTCTCCCCCAAGCACACCACACGGACTTCATGTACACAGAGTGATGGAGACTCAAATTAAAGAGCAAAACGTTAGCAACTGCCTGCAGATTTACCTCCAACTCTGGAATTGTATGCGATCCCAACCCCACACTTGTAATTGTTTGCTTGCATGGCAATTTCTCCTGCGCATCTGGTCCCGTGTCTGAGGATTGAAAAATAGATAGTATGAAACATGAATGATGATAAAGATTTATCTGGCATAGGGCTGGAGCGATAGCACAGCGGGTAGGGCGTTCGCCTTACAAGCGACCAACATAGCCGACCCGAGTTCGATTCCTCCGCCCCTCTCGGAGAGCCCGGCAAGCTACCGAGAGTATTCGATATGCCAGACACAGTAACAACAAGGTCTCCAATGGAGACGTTACTGGGCCCGCTCGAGCAAATCGACGATCAACGGGAGGGCCTTTACCTTAGGAATCCACAGATATGTCAACTTTTAGTCAACATTATTGCTGGTTCCCTTCCCAACCAGATTAGAAGCATGAAGCATAAATATCAGATGAAGAGCACAGGCGTTGGAGCTGAAGTATATGAGTTCTAACTCTAGCTTCTGCCATCTACTTGCGGTATGATGTGGAGTAGATTACTTGAGCTCAAAGGGTTGTGCCATCACGTGAGATATGCTATAAGAGCACTTAGGATGTGGCTGGTTATAAGAACCTAGGAATGATTCACTATCAAAACTACTATAAACATTTAAAATCTGACATTTTCACAGGCTGGAGAAATAGCACAGCGGGTAGGGTGTTTGCCTTGCACACAGCCAATATGGCCGACCCGAGTTCGATTCCTCTGCCCCTCTCAGAGAGTCTGGCAAGCTACGAGAGCATCTTGCCCACACGGCAAAGCCTGGCAAGCTACCCATGTCGTATCCGATATGCCAAACACAGTAACAAGTCTCACAATGTCACTGAGCCTGCTCGAGCAAATCGATGAACAATGGGAGGACAGTGAGAATAAAGTTAAGTGACATTTTCAGATGCTATGTCAAAGAAATAGCATCTTCTTTGTATTCTTCAATTGTGACATGGCACCTTACTTCCTACCGTGACTTCCTTGGATTAGACTACACTGAAAAACTCCAATAGGATAAGATGAAACACGGTTCCCACTCAAGTTCCCGCCTCTAGTCATACCCAAACCAAAAATATGAGGATCACGCCAAACAGGAGTTTGACATTTTGATGACATTGCAAGTCACTTGAATAATCTGACTGCAGCGCTCACTGAAGTCTGAACAAAACTTATTTTACAATCAGATGAATAGTTAATTTAAAATCTTGAAGTGTTTGGGGTAGGGATAAACCTAAAACAGGTAAAGCATCACTTCTAAATTTCTGGGGATAATTTTTCCTACCACCACATGGACTAGAGTCAAGACACTTCTTTTTACTTATTTCATAACATTCTTTTTTCTATTGTGGAAGCAAGCTGGAGTCAGGTAAAGGTCTGGGTGGCTTAGAGGGGCTGTGGAGAAAATATGCTGGTATAGAGGAAAAGAGAAAAAAGGGTTAGCTCTGAGCAGCTCTGTCAGTCAGCTCTTTGAGACTGCTGCACACTGGACGTATATTAATTTAGCAGTGAATAAAAAATCCTACATTCGTTGGGTTATTCAAAATAATTTTTCATTGATCTTTTCTCCAAAAGTAGTAAAGGGTTTTGGTCTGGTCTCCTCCCATTAGATGATCCTCCCCACATCTACATGCTCGTTCTAAACAGGAATTCAAAGGCAAACCTTGAATTCAAGGTCTCCTGGCTGCACCAGAAGCAGCAATAGTCTGCTTCTTATTCTGTAGCCTTCTCACACACTGTGGGGAAGATCCCCCTCCACAACCACTTTAGATTCTCTTAAAGACTCTCCTCCATGGCTACTTTCCAGGATTCCAGGACTGATGCTATTCCGGGCCAGAAAACTGCAATCTGCTCCTTAAGCTTTCTTTTCCATGTGAGGAACATGGGTCCTATAGGAGGGCAGAAGTCTCCTGAGAATTAAGTTAAGTGGAGTAGAGAGCATTGGGAAAGATAAACAGAACACTCGTGATCCTGGCAGCATATTCTTTGTGCTCCTGGATCTCAAAATACTGGAAACCAGAGCATCCCTTGGGTGAAAAAGAAACCTAGATTTTCATTTTACTTAGTCTTTGGGTTAGGATTCTTTTTACTCACTTTCTCACTTGGCTGGAGTGATAGCACAGTGGGTAGGCCGTTTGCCTTGACCTGGGTTTGATTCCTCCGCCCCTCTTGGAGAGCCTGGGGAACTACCTAGAGTATCTAGTTCACACGGCAAAGCCTGGCAAGCTATCCGTGACGTATTTGATATACCGAAAACATTAACATCAAGTCTCACAATTTGTTCTAAGACGTTATCGGGTCTGCTCAAACAAATCGATAAACAATGGGAGGACAGTGCTATAGTGCTACAATGCAAGTTGATGCATTCTGAAAAAAATATGCACAGTTAACTCCTAGAAGTTATTTTACCCATCTCTGTTGGATTAACCTTCCTTTTCTCTTCAGAAGCAGAAATTTAGTTGTCATCCCCTAGGAAATACGCTGCCACACTGCCTGTATTTCCATTTACATAAGAGATGGGACCCAAGAGAGCAAAAGAAACAAATGTGATGTCTCCAGACTGAACCAACAGAATTAAACTGTTGACGAACATCCCCAGATCATTAGCATTGCCCCTGTCCAAAAAATGATGCAGTGTCGAAAGTAGACTATGGACTGAACATGTTTGCCACTCAATGCCTCTTTTGCAGACCACAACACCCAAAAGGAGAGAGAGAACACAGGGGATTGCCCTGCCACAGAGACAGGGGGGTATGGGGGAATAGGGGTGGGGGGATATTATCCATGGTGGTGGAAAATGGGCACTGGTGGAGGGATGGGTATCTGATCATTGTATAATCGAAACCCAAGCACAAAAAATTGTAAATCTACAACTGTAAAAAAAATAAATAAATAAAAAATAAAGGGAAAAAAAATGATGCAGTGTGAAACAATCTACTCACTATCTTTTCCATTAAACGGAGTTTTCTCCAAAGGTTCTTGTAAGATCAAATATGATTTGATATTCTTCCTCTGCTTATCTTCATATCTGACCTTCAGGTCTTGAGTGAAAGAGGCTTTCAATGTGGTTCCATATTATTCTACCTTTTCCTTTCCTTTTTATTTTCTTCCCTTCCATCAATAACTTGGATGAAAGCCCCTTCTATAAGCTTAGAACAATAGCAGAAACTGGTATTTAAACCTATCGATTTTTTAAGAAATAGTTCCACAAGATAGTTTCAAGACTACTATTACGCTGGTTCAAACATCCTTGTCACACGTTATTTATCTAGAAAAATCATCTGTAATTGGTGGTGAAATACACTGAATACAGATTTGTGCCCGCTTAGTAGTAAGAGTTACCTACACTTTTAATATTTTATTATTTAGTGACAGATGTATAGTTTGATTTGCAGAGGAAAATTTAAATGCAGCTTCTTTTAGTCTCATTTACATAGTAATAAAGAGTGGCAGTAAAAGAGAATTAAGGAGATAATGCTCTCGGAATTGGTGGATAATAGGTCTCTGACTGCTCAAAAGCCCAGACAGTGGGAGGCTAGAGAGAGATAGTTCAGCAGGAAGGTGCTGCCCTGGCAGGAGGCTGGCCCAGATTCAATCCTGACCCCTAGCACCATGCTGCCTGGCTTGGCCCCCAAACAACCAAACAAACAAACAAACAGAAAGCCAAGACAATGGGGTCATTCAGTTTTCAAACCTAAGGGTTTGAAATAACCTATCATAGAAGTTTCTAACAACAGGTTAGGAAGATAACTCTATATTTTAATTATACTTTTTGACAAATGATAGGGATACTACATTTTTGGTTGATAGTTAAAAGGCCACAAAAGATAGCAGTAGCTTACCATATAATTTTCAAATAGCAGATGCTGAATTAGCCTGAAAATTGACTTGTCTCTGCTTCTGCTCCTATCAGAGGCTGTCATTCTTGTCATGCAAATCAGCATGAAAGCCTGTCTTGTAGCTTCTGAAACTGTGGAATATGGCTCACAAAACCCTTTAGTTCTGGCAAAACTAAAGGGTTCCTGAATGTGCAGTGACCAAAAATTAATTCAAAATCCATGAATCCGAAGTGTTTCTGGAAGTGCTTGCCCATGTTGTGCTTCTTGGACAAAAAGGGATCACTCGGGGGAAACATTTAAGAAGCTGTTGGTCTACCCCAGCTGTTAAATGGGAGGAATCGATCACTTTCATTAGTGCCTGCATCCACAAACACCTGACAGCAGACACTGAACTCTTTCTACATACCAGGCATTACACCAGTCAGTTACATATAGAAACTTACTCAATCCTCACAAGAATCTAAGGGGTGGATACTATTACTATTCCTCTTTAGTAGCCAATAAAACTTAGACACAAAGAATTAGTTTGTTTAGGATTACTCAGCTGTTAAGTGGTAGATCTCAAATCTGATCTAATCTAGCAGCCGAGGCTCTGTGCTTCTCAACTCAGCTACATGCTTACCCCGTACTTTGTGAGGGGGCTGGTAGGCTCTGTGGGAAGCTCAGATTTGTTCATCGATTTGCTCGAGCAGGCATCAGTAATGTCTCCATTGTGAGACTTGTTACTGTTTTTGGCATATCAAATACACCACGGGGAGCTTGCCAGGTTCTGCCATGCAGGCGAGATACTCTCAGTAGCTTGCTGGGCTCTCTGAGAGGGATGGAGGAATCGAACCCGGGTCCACGGTGTGCACGGTAAACGCCCTCCCTGCTGTGCTATTGCTCCAGCCCAAGTACTATAGTAGGGAAGTTTTTGTTTTAGAGGATTGAAGAGAAAAATCTGGAATTCTCTTCTCATAAAAGAAACACTAGAATAATGGTTTAAACAGTGGCTTGCAGACTGGTGCAGGTCCACAACAATTTCCTACCACTTCATGAAAATGTCATTTCCTGATGGTTCATTTGCTACATGGTGCAGCAGAATAGTATTTCTATTTTATAATATATATTCAATATATAATATATATTCAAAAAACAACAAACACACAATAACATATTATAAATTATGCTTTTTTGATTTTTTTTTATGTGTTGGCTACACCAGGCAAAAGAGAAACCCTGGGGGGCTATTTCCTACCATGGGACTCAGAGATCATTGCTGGCAGGGCTCTGGTACCAGGCATGCTGGGATTGATCCCAAGCTCTTACAAACATGTGTTCTAGCCCTTACAGCCACCTTCCCAGCCAATGATGATTTTTATTTATGCCTTAGTGATCTGTGAATCAGTTCACTTGTATTCACCTGTCAATGGGTCTAAAAAGGTTGTAAGTTATTACTGCAGAGAATCCCATTTCACCAGGAATTCTCAGTTGTGCATGCAGGTGATCATCCACGTTGAACTGTGGGTCATATCCAGGACACACTGCCCACAAAGGAGGTGGAAGACCTCAGTTTGCACTCTTCTCAGCAGTACCCGTGTGGCTGAGAGATTTCCCTCTTAGTCATGGACCAAGAATGAGAACTGACACTTTCACTGCATTCTAAGTGGGGCACTTATTACACTTTTCCTTAAGAAGCTCCTTTGGAAGTTCCTCAAGAGTTCCTTTCAGGAGAAGAGGGGTTAGGTGTCATCTCACCCGTGTTAAGAGATACCGTAGAGTTAAAGATAGCAGCAAAAAGAGGCAAGTGATTCCCTTAAGGTCCCGTTCTGTGCAAAGCCACTGCTATCAGACAATTGAGCACTGCAAGATCCTGTTCTGCCAAGCAGAACTTCCTTTAGTCAAGCTCTGCACTCACTCAGAAATAGAGAAGGCTGGGGCCAGAGAGATAGTGCAGGGGTAGGGTTCTTGCCTTACATGTAGACCATCTGGGTTTGATCCCAGCACCCCAACCACAGCCGGGTGAGGCCCCAAATTGGACAAAATTAAATAGGGGAGGAAGGATGTCTGGCTTCTGCTGTAAGTCCCCAAATGTCCCCACTCCTCTAAGGCAGTCTCTCAGTGCTTCCTGTCACTTGCTATTGAAGTCTGCTTGATTATGCTGAAAGCAATGGTATGTTGAGTCTCTCCAAGCATCCTCTCCTCCCAGTGAAATGTACACTTTGGAGATGAGGCCAGGGACCCGCAGCATCTTTTTCTGAGACTTGCTAACCTCATGAATGTAGACCTTTCAAAAGCAACAACTTCAGATCAATATTAACTGCTCCAGCCAGTGGGTGTTCTAAGAGAAAGAGGAGAGAGTTCACCAACCTGATTGACCCAAATCAGATAATAGTCCAGGAGAGAGCCATTCAGAGAGAGGAGGAAAGCACTTTATGAGGCTTCCACAAAGAGCGTTCTTTTGATTTTCTTTTTCCATGCCCATTTACAACAGTGAGTGCTAATGCTAGTTTGGTTTCACTCTTCTTAGGCGTATACATCCCCTCTGAGTGGGGAAAATGGCAAGGTAAGTCTGCATGTCTGTGAGAGATGCTATCAAGAACAAAGATGATTCCCTCACAGGCATGAACACTGTGGCCATGTGCTGAGGGGATGAGAGCTTTTTGAAACCAGGCAAAGGGTTCAAACATTTCTTTTGGACCTCTACTCAAGCAGAACCAGATTTTGGTAAGTCTCTCTCTCCTCTCTCTCCTCTCTCTCACTCTCTCTTTCTCTCTCTCTCTCTCTCTCTCTCTCTCTCTCTCTCTCTCTCTCTCTCTCTCTTTAAATGAACTACCTCAAGAATACCCATCCCTGCACCAGTGTACATTTCCTAGTATCCTCTTCCTCTTCCTTTAGTTTTAGAAAACCCAGCAAGAGCTTTAGAGATGACAAGCTAGTCCAGGGTCCAAGAGACTGTATTGGATATTCTCAGAGTGGTTTTTCTCTATGATTCCAGTCATTCTCTTCTGGCGAACCTGGACACTGCCAATTGTGACTACCACTGGAAATCACAGGGACTGATTACCGTGGTCACCTATATTTCTTTTCAAACTTCTTATCCAGTGTATTGCTAATACACTGAAGTTGAGAGATTGGACTATAAGTTTCTTCTCTTGCTGTCCCAAACATTCTTTTTAGAGCTAAGTTTGATAATTAAAAGGAGACAGTTTCATAATAAAATGATAGGTTAGTTAAAATAATGTTTGAAAAGTTAATAAATATACATAAATATTATGTATATTATATATATATACAAACTCAAGTTTAGTTTTTATTCTAAAACTTAAAATACTATGGTATTTAAGACATACAGGATAATTTTTGAGAGATAAATATAGACCATATTCATGATTTTTTTCAAATAATATAGAATAATTTTAAAGACCTTATCTCCCCCAACCCTGCCAACATACCAATCCACACTTACTCACTTGTTCTCATTTGTGGGATCATATCTGGGAAATGGGTCATGATCATTATCATTGAAATCGTAGCTAGCCTCTGGATCCTACAGAGAAAGTTAAAAAAAAAATGTAGCACTGGTTTTTTTTGTTTGTTTGTTTGTTTTTTTAAAGTAGCACTTTTTATCCAGACTAACACCTTAAAAGTGTTCATTCAGAGTTTCACGTCCAGTTGCTGATTATTTACGAGACCCAAAAACCAGGCAGAGAATACGTACACAGCAATGTGAGAAGCATCTAGTTCCCATTGATTTACCAAAACTATAACTTGTAGTAAATAGAGGCTCATAAGAAAATAGAGACTCATAAGATATAAAATGAGGTACAATGCAGGCACCAAGTGATCTCTGTCAGCCTCCCTAAGAACTCTAAATAATCATATAATTTAACTAAAGAGTGTTTAAAATTAAAGACAAACTGTCAGGTTCTGCCCCTTCCTTTGCAATCAGATTTCTCTACTTAAGTTTATTTACCTCAGAGGAATTCTAACAAACTTTTGTGCTATTTTTCCATATTTTACTATCTTTTCAAAATTATTGTTTTGTACAAATTCTTTTCCTTCACTTTTCTTCTGTTCTTTAGCTAGGGAATGACGCATTCAATTTGAATGGAAAAGATGAGCTAATGACCAGGAATAATCTCAAAAATATAATGCTAATTTGAAGAGGTAAGGTATAGAAGATCTTATAAACAAGTAAGAATTCTATATTCTTATTATCTTAATTATCTTATCTTAATTCTATATTCTTATTCTCTCACTGCTAGCACATTTTCTCTGTCCTTTTTTGCAGATTGCATGGAGGGACTCATGTTTACGTAACTTCTCAGTATCAGCAATTCTGACCTAAGAGAGTTGTGAAGATGACTGTGAAAATGATCTCAAGCATCAGGCTTGATTTGATTGCCTAAAGCCCCAAATGCTGATGGATAGAGTCTAAATAGCTTTCAATAATTCCACTGGGGTAAATGACTCTGCACATGCTTTTTTTCACTCCTTAGCTCCAGTGAATTTTTGTGATAATGCCAACTAGTACACCCCCCAAAATGCTTTTATGGATCAATGGAGAGTTAGACAAAATCTTGTCCCACCCTTCTGGGAATAAAGAAAGAGCAACTTTCTGGGTCTGATAAGCAAGATTTAAGTGGAAGCTAGGCAGGTTCAAACTCACATAATTGGCATAGATGTCTGTGTGATTCCACTCTAAGCCATCATCCAAGACAGTGATAACAACTCCTTTGCCTGTGATGCCTCTTTGCCAAACAGGTATCACATGGAGATCCAGTTTGGGGAGTGCAGCAGTCATCCTGGTATCTTGCTGATAAGGAGAAACAAAGATGCATCAGTAAAATTATTTATTTTCTGCAAAATGAGAAGTGAAGCTTCAATCTGGAGACCCTGATTTCACTTCCCTGAAATCACTGGATGAAGGCAATTAGGTGAAATGAAAAGCCAAGTTGAGGGAAGGGCTAAGTGAATCATCAGAATGATTCTCCTTTCCCAGTTGTTCCAATGGAAAATCACTCAAAAGCATGAATCACCCTGTACCCCTTCTCTTTCAACTACATGACTTTGAAGAAGTTGTCTTTAAGTTTCTTTCATTTATTAATGATATATTCAGGCTTCCATCTATTGAAGGTGTTTTGTTAATTTTTGTTGTTCCATGTCTCCATGGAGCGATAGCACAGTGGTAGGGTGTTCGCCTTACAAGCAGCCAACATGGCCGACCCGAGTTCGATTCCTCCGCCCCTCTCGGAGAGCCCGGCAAGCTACCAAGAGTATTCGATATGCCAGACACAGTAACAACAAAGTCTCCAATGGAGACGTTACTGGGCCCGCTCGAGCAAATCAACGATCAACGGGAGGGCCTTTATCTTTACCTTTACCATGTCTCCATCTTGCCCCAAATCCAAAGTCACTTTTCCAACACTATTTTTGTTGTTGAGATTTTTTGTCATAGTTGTAGTATACAGCAAGTCCTGCCACAGAGGCTTTAGGTTACAACAGGAGGCAGAATACTCCTGTGGATAAGCAAGTGTAATCACAATATCTCCATTGTAATTGTGATTGTAATAACAATACACCGATAAGGAACTGGTAACTACTATAAGGGTAGAATGGTTTGCAAATCTGTCAATAGACCTTCAGTGAGGTATTTTTCCTTTAATATAGTTTAAAAAGTAACACCTTAACATGTAAAAATTGACACTTAGGCTCGTCATACTGTGTTTGTGTTTTTATTTGTAAGTCCTGTCAGTACTCAGGGCTTACTTCTGCCTCTACATTTATCATCGCTTGTGGTGGGGTTCAGGGTACTATATGGGGTAGCAAGGATTGAAGGTAAGTGTCCTACCCCTTGTATCATGGTTCCAGCCCTAGGATGATCATTCTGAATTGTGTTCACTCTGATCAGAGAGATTTAAAGTGCTTTCAAAGAATAGCTTTGACCTGTTGAGATTTATGCCGTAAATTCTTCTTCATAATCCCTGATTTTCAAGATCTTCTGTACTTACTCCAGATATGCTTCAGAAGAGAATGAATGAGAAAGCAAACCCTTCTCTATTAGTCATTAAAGATTTGTATTTTAGATACTCTCAACTAGTGAAACTAAATGACGATGATTTAGACCACAGAAGGTTCCATTTGCCTTTGACTTCCAGAGAGCATAATCTTTGTTGAATAAACTCTCTTTCATGAAAGAAAAGACATTGTACATCAAAGGAAATAATTCAAGACTTCAAGCCCTACCCAGTCCTTGGGTAGATACTTACCAAGTACCACTGTTGGTTCCACATTGGATCGTTGAAGAGATTTAGTGCGGACTCTCTTAGAACTGAGCGTTTACTTCTTTCTTTTTCATACTGTTGTTCAGCCCATATCACCTGCAGGAAATTTTATTACAATAATTCAACAGTCAGAGAACCACCTTTTAGCTCCTGGGCCCTCTCCAGCAGAGTTCACACGGCTCTACAATATTTTTCTTTGACTACAGATCACATTGACAGCTCAGTGAGAAAAGCTTGCCCACTGGAGAGATGAACATTCTCTTTTACATAAAGTGTCTTTGTAGGGGGAGGAGAAACAGTCAAGGAGAGGATCCCCTCAAATGTCACGCACTGTGATTACAGAGGAAGTAAAAGTTCAGCCTGCTCTCATTAGCAAATGGACCATAATGCCCACCTTCCTATCAATATACCAAGCAAGACTCTATAGCTAAAAACTTGCCCTTTTTCATGGAATGAATCAACAAGCTAAGATATCTCAGAGACTGCTGCCTCAGAGCTTACAAGCAAAAGATAAAAATTAAAAGTGTTGCACAACCAGCAGCTCATTGCAGAGATGCCTCAGACTTTAAGCCAGGCCGACTTCACCAGGGTGCCTCAGGCAGGAGCAGGCGTTGTCCCTCCACCTGCCCCTGACAACCCCATGGCCACCGACCTCCAGAACCCAAAGAGAGGTGCAGGTACACAGGCTCAGTGACAGCAAACTCCAGGTCTCAAGGGGTAGGGGATGAGCAGGTTCTTCTCATTCCTCATCCCCATGGGACCCTCGAGGTCACATCCACAAACTGTCTTCAGCTGCTAGTTAAGCTCCTTAATGGCCATGATCCAGAGACACACAAAAGAATCTCGGAACCAAGCAGCTCACTGCCGAGATTTCTCCAGACCCTATTTATCTAAAATTTTAGAATTCCAGGAGTTCATGGCCGCACAACACTTTATGCTACTTATATCAAGCAATACAGGGACTATAGGGAAGATTGTCATAGAGCCAGGGGGAGGGGAGGGGTGGGGGGGATACTGGGGACATTGGTGATGGGAGATGTTCATTGGTGGAGGGTTGAATATTCTATTATTGTATAACTGAAACAAACATGAAAGCTTTGTAACTGTATCTTACGGCAATTCAATAAAGAAAGTTAGTTAAACAATAAATAAACAAACATAAATAAAAGTGTTGCACAAGACAAGAAAAAATGCTCTGTCTTTGAAAATTTAAAACTCTGGCTCTCTTGTGTTTCAACCTCATGCTAAGAATATTTAATATGAAAAACAGACCCCGGATGATGAATGAGCACTACTGACCATGCGCACTTACCATTAATTTTGTCTCATGTATTATGCAAAGCAATCTGACGATACAAAAATGACCTGTTCCCCATTTATGATATAATCCTATTACACCCAAGGCCCTGAGAGAGCAAGAGGGTGCCTTGCGGTTAGATTCATGATGAAATAATACCATGCTTTTATTTTGCTAGGTGGTTTAACTATTTCCTACCCAAAACACATTCCCTGTGTTGAACACACAATGCCAGGTCAGTGAATGGTGTGATGTTGTTAATGTGAAAGTATTCGTGATGCAGGTCCAAAAACAAAGACCAAAAAATAGTTTGCAATGAAAGGGTAAAATCATCCACTGAGATTGTACTGAACTTTCAATTCAAAAATATACCACAAACCTATTATAAAGATTGGGAGGGATTTGAGAGCTCGAAATTAGTCACTATAATTTATTTTTAAAGTGCCTATGTTTTCAAGCCTAATTGTTTTAGCTTAAAATACCTCAAGGCTTAGAATATACTGCCTGTCATCTGAGTTGGTCTTTGGAAGCAGGCTGCTAGGGAACAAACACTAATCTTTGATGGAGAGAATCACTTATAGCTGGAAGTTTCATTAGCAGACTTATAAAGATAGTCCACTGCTGCATGTTATAAGGCAGATTTGAAAGAATATTATCTCATTCAAAAAACAGGGAATAAAATGAAAATCAAGAGGTAAATAAAAATAAAATTGAAGAGGTATCTGCAACTGATCAGATAAATATCCAATTATTGGCAACAATATTGTGATTACTTCAAACTTCAAATCTCATTATAGCATCTAAAAGAGTAGACCGAATGGAACAAAGGAAGTTAATTGTGTTTTTCTAATATGTATATGCTACACATCACATTCTTAATTATAATAATTAATTTTCAATGCAAAGTGAATTAAAGATACTTAGTCTAACTTTTAACTGTCAGTTTCTATGGGTTTTACAAGTTTTCTAAAAGAAAAACATTCTGGGAATAATTTTTCAAAGAACCATATAGATTCCTTTTTAATAAAATTATATTAGGGAGTAAATTCTTAGTTCTTCTTCATTCTGCCTTGTGTTTCTTCTCCAAATCAATGATAAAGAATAAAAATGATCCAACTGTTCATTTTAGTGAGGTACTTTGAGTGATAATAACAGATCTTTTCTACACTTTCCAATTCACTTCTATGAAGATAAATGAGAGATCAGTTTTCCTTCCTGGTGTATTAATAGAGATATGTGAGAGATCATGTTTCTAACAAACTCAGCTCCAAGTTTGGAGTAGTTCCTTGAGCAAAAACAGCTTAGATCCACAGCAAAAATGCCCCCAAGAAATAATAAAATAAAATAGTTTAGAGTCTTGGGAACTGGAGAGATAGTAGGGTGCTCGCCTTACATGTGAACAACCCAGGTTCAATCCTAGCACTTCATATACCAACCCCACACCCCGTACCTCCAGAAGTGACCCCTGAGTGTAGAGACAGTAGTAAGCTCTGAGTATTACTGGGTGTGGCCCAAAAAGACAAAAACAAACAAAAACCCAGTAGTTAAGGATCTTCTAGATGCTAAAGGCAACGTGGCAAAGGTAAAATTGTCACAACTTTATATTTAAGAGTACCTGCTGATTTGCTATGTGAAATATCCCTTTCTGCTCTTAATGTACCCATTGAATTTTAATGTGCATACTAACTGTTCTTAATGTCTCTGCCATCTTAAACAATAACTCATGTGTTGGGAATAAGGGTGGAGGAGAGAGATTGTACTGATAGCTGCCCAGGCTGCCTTAAAGCTGGCTGTTGACAGGGATATGCATTTATGCAGATTAAAAAAAAAATCCTTCAACTTTGCTTAAGCATTTAGCTTAACAGAATGCTGGTAGCTCTTCTACTTTCCAGAGACGACAAACAGTGAGCCCTCTGTCTTGGAACGGCAGAGGGAAAGTCTCATTGGAGACCTGAGCTGGTCAGTATAATGTTTGGGGGCTCTGATTCAATCTTTCGCATGTAGCTATTAACTTGAGTATAAGAGCGGCAATGGATGGTTATGAGCTATGGATTGTCATCATCCTGATCCAGCACTGGTAGTTTGGATATGAACACTGAAACCTAGATCCAGTCATTTCTGACTCTCAAGCACTGTCCTCTCCATTTCGAGCTTTATGGTTTCATTAGTTGCAGAGTGGAATAACTATTTCACAGTGTTCATGATATGTGCACACTTTCAATAGTTCTGCCACATTTATCACTTAAACATTTCCCCCCCCCCCCGTGAACATGAAAATTGTTCTGTCTCTCAACAAGCTGCCATAATTCTCAGGGCATACTTGGCAACAGAAATCACATATACAGTTCTCAGGTCAGTCAGGATAAATTTCTACCAAAATGACAGATTCTTGAGGCAACATTGTGGATGCATATTGCAATTCTCTCATTGTAGTCAATATATCTATTGATATATTTGTTTCTTTGAAAATAGAATTTAAAAATCAATAAGTTCATTAGATCTACATTTCAACTGCCTCCATACTATTACCTATGTTTATTTGGATATTTATCTGTTATCTCCTAATCACTAATCCTGTGTACAAACTCAAACAATAAATGGAAACTTTGCCTTACGAAGATATGAATTTAGTGCCCTACCATTCATTGTGGCAGAATGTTTTTTCAGCTACACATAATGGAATCTTTTAAAAGTAAGTTCATTGATTATATTGGGGGGGGTTCTTGATATCAAATATTAAAGCATCTAGCACACGAAGGCATAAATTTATAGAAGGTTATTGATATGTTGAAGGTTATTGATATATTGTCATGTGTTTCCATTTGATTTTAACGATGTGCATTTAGGCTGAATTGTGAACTAATATTTCATTTATATGTTAACATATTAAGTATAAGTGGAGTATATACGCATTGTGGTTACTTCATTTAAGCCAACTGTATGTAATCATAGCCCTATGAAAATAACAAAAAAATTATAGATAAGTAATCACTGTCCTCCCGTTGTTCATCAATTTCCTCGAGCAGGCACCAGTAACATCTCACAACAAATTGTGAGACTTGTTGTTACTGGTTTTGGCATATTGAATACATCATGGAGAGCTTGCCAGGCTTTGCTGTGCGGGCCGAGGAATTGAACCAGGGTTGGCTGTGTGCAAGGTAAATGCCTTACCCGCTGTGCTATCACTCCAGCCCTAGATAAGTACGAGTAATTTTTGACAGAGATTCTTTCACAATGTACAAGAATCATATTGAAAAATGCTTTTTTTAACTTTTATTTTTTTTGCTTTTTGGGTCACACCCAGTGATGCACAGGGGTTACTCCTGGCTCTGCACTCAGAAATTACCCCTGGCGGTGCTCAGAGGACTATATGGGATGCTGGGAATCGAACCCGGGTCGTCCGCGTGCAAGGCAAACGCCCTACCCGCTGTGCTATCACTCCAGCCCCGAAAAATGCTTTTTTGATTTTGTTAACCCTCAAAAATCAAGCAGAAAATTCAGGTAACTGGTTTGAAGACAACTGTCTTGAACTTACACGATCATCATCAGATAACCTTTTAGTGATGTGAGGAGCGCTCCTTCGAGACCTTCGGGGGTGGCTTTTATGTTTCAATAAGTAGTGGTTTTCAAGTGACCCAATCTATAAAAGAAAAACATTACAATGAAAATCAATGTCCCAAACAAATATATAGATGAGATTAAAACCCAAGTGACTTAGTAACATGCAGCTTTTATTAAGCTCATGTCCTTGTACTTGAAGTCAACATTTTTCTTCATAAGGAAGACACTGGTAGATTCCTTCCTTCACTTGTCAGTGTGTTGTGTGAGATGAGCCTCAAGATATTATCGCATGAGCTTAGCTTCCTTGGGCACTGCTGAGGCTTTTGTTTCACATGCTTCAGAGGAAGAGAAGAAAAATGAAACACTTCAACAAACCAAACATAATCCTATTCATTCTTTGCAACAAATTATGTTGACAGACATTTCTCAAAAAATTTGTTGTGAGAGAACAAAAATTTGTGTAAAGCAAACACTTTGGATATATAGTCAGTGCTGTACTTAGGTAAAACAATTCTTGGCTATTATAAAACATAGACCTTGAATCCACAATGATGATTCTAAAATCCAGTCTAATGACCACCTGACTTTCTACTGGTTCAGTGTTTTAAAGGAAAAGCACGCTGTATTCTATCTTAGACTTTGTCAGTGTCTCGGAGAGACTGCCAATGCTTTGGGACCACTTAGAATTATGTTCATTATTCTTTGGGGGCCTGAGTGATAGTACAGTGAGTAAGGCATTTGTCTTGCATAAGGATGATCCATATTCAACCCCAGCATCCCATATGGTCCTTCTAGCCTGCCAGGATTGATATCTGTTGCTCCTTAGTCCCCGACACCGAGTTCGGTGCAGAGGAGAGCTGGACAAGACTTGGTGGGCTACTCCCAGCTTCAGAGCCAGGAGTAAGCAGTGAGCATTATTTTATTTTATTTTATTTTATTTTTTGACTTTTTGGGTCACACCTAGCGATGCTCAGGGGGTTACTCCGTACTTTGCACTCAGGAATTACCCCTGGCAATGTTCGGGGACCATATGGGATGATGGGAATCAAACCCGGGTTGGCCACATGCAAGGCAAACATCCTACACGCTGTACTATTGTTCCAGTCCCCTATGGGCATTATTGGGTTTAACCCCCAAATAAAATAAAATGATAACTTTGTTCTTGATCTTTTAAGGTAAAGGTTTTTTAATTGGGAATAGTGCTTAATTTGAAGCCACCAAATTCTCTAGATACTATACATATGTACACACAGACACATATGTGAGTGTGGTTATTATTTCTAAGAGACACAAGTGACACTTGGCTGTTTCATAAGAAACATAGCCATTATATTGGCAGTTCTCATCAAAAGTTCTTGATAGAGCTACTTAGGCCCTGCTTTAAGTCTAAACCTCAAAGAACGATTCTTCTGTCAACTGTAAATGGATTTGGAACAGATGTTTTTGCTGTCCGTTGGTACTGTTTCTGTCCACCGGGGCTTTATTCTGAGTATTAACCAGCTCAGAATAGCAAAGCTATTTTAGTGTAAACCCCAGATGAAAGAACCAGGATAATAAAGCACTAACAGACTATAAAGAATCATTACATTCCCAATGTGTGTTAGTAATGACATTATAACTGCAAGTGGCTAGATAAATTACAGTATACATAAATTGTATATAGACATAGATTTCCCCTACTATTTTTAAACCTTCTTGTGGCTATGCCATCCCTTCTTTGAAGAGCCTATAATGAGTACTAATTTGTTGGTTTGGGAGTATTCGTATTTGAAGATTATGAAAAGACAATCCTCAGAATGAGTGGTCCAAGTTTAGACATACTGGGGGAACGAATAGAAAAGGAAAAGAGATTATTTTTGCTCTCACTTCTGTTTCTTTCCATAATGACCATGTGCTTTAACTGTGCTGCTTGGTTTTACAAGGATTGGAGGATTAAGTATCTTTTTTTTTCCTTCCATAGAATGAATAAGATTTCTATGGTGCTCCCAGTAGCCCCTGGTCAAAATTTATTCTACCTTTAGATCTCAACAGTCCCATGTGGTATCCACACGAAGGTAGGACTGAGCTGCTTTCTTAGCAAGTTCCTGCCTTCCCAGCAGCTGATTTTTATGCTGGGAATATCTTCTCCGATCTCTTGTTTTCCTCACAGTCTTCGATTCCTCTTCCTAAAAAGGTATGCAGATATTTTCTCTGGGCTACCTTCCTTCACCCTTTCCTCTTCTTTCCTTCCATCACCCAATAGTGGTATTACGGGCACAAGTACCATTATCCACAACAATCATGGGCAATAGCAATCACTTGTGTCTGAGCAAATCTCTTCCAGGTTCTCGATTCCTGGAAAGTGTCTTTGATATCTGTTGCTCCTTAGTCCCCGACACCGAGTTCGGCGCAGAGGAGAGCTGGACAAGACTTGGTGGGCTACTGGACCGCTGAAAAGTGACTGTGAGCATTGACCTTCCTGCTGGGCATTTCAGAAGGCTCCTCCAGTTTGGAGAACCGAGCCTCTGGCTAGGGAAGTCGTATTCCCCAGCGGATTCGATCTAAGGATCCGCCAGCGCCCACCCACGCGCATTACTCATCCGTGACTTCAGCGGCCTCCGGAAAAACCGCGCCAAAGTGTCTTTACTACTCTGTCCTCCCCCGCGTCCTCGCAGCCAGGTTCCAAGGCCAGGGGAGCAAGCCATGCACCCCAACGCAGCGGAGGGAAAGCCAAGCCCAAACCCTCACCCCAGGACACCCCTGTGCCGCGCTCACCGTGCGCCCCGCGGCGCTCTCCCTCCAACCCCCAACCCCCACCTGGGTGTGCGCGCGGACACACACACACACACACACACACACACACACACACACACACACACTGCATCTTCTACAAGCCCCCTGCCTGCTTGACCACACAAGAGCTGAAATCCAGCTACGCTTCTCTGCGAGCAGGAAGGAGTCGATCCTCCCAACACATCCAGGAGCTGGCAAAGTTGCGGGGCTCAGACTTTGCAAGTTGTGGGCGGAGACGTGGTGCGCCCGCAAAAGGATCGAGACGCGGTCCCGGGTCTGGGACCCTGCAGCCCATCCCTCCCACCAGGTCCCCACTCGCGTGATCCGCTCCCGAGCGCTTCGCCCTGCGTCGGACCCCGCTGGCTAAGCCCGGGCTCGCTCGCGCCGGGAGCGACTGCGACTCCACCAAGTCGCAGGAGGTTGAACCCCGGGGTGCTGGCCCGAGCGCCCGACGAGCTGCACCGAGCGGCGGGGAGCGGGTGTCGGGCTCCCAGCGGCGTCCCGGCCGAGAGGACGAGGCCCTTGCTGGAGGCGCCCTCCGCTGGCTGTCCCGGGCCCGCCCCGACCACGCGCAGCGCTCGCGCTCTGCAAAGGCTCCGCGGGCCCGCGCCGCAGCGCCCTGGTCCTTGCCACGCCGGGTTCGAGTCCCCGGGGGACACCGCCCCCCGATCCCGCCGGCACCTGGGGAGTCCGGAAAGTTTCCCGAAAGTGCCAACTACTCACCTGGCCCAGCAGGTCGTAGCCCAACTCCTGAGCGATGGTCGCGGCCGCCTCGGGTCCCCCGGGGATCTCCGCTGCCCATTCGTTCACGAACTGCCTCCTGGCCTCGCCCCTGCCCAGCGCCACCCAGGCGCACAGGAGGGCGAGTGCCGCCCGCTGCAGGGTCCCGGCTCCCCGCGCCATGGCGCTCCCGCCCCAGCCCCGCACACAGGAGGAGTCGAGCCCGACCACCGCCCGGCAGCCTCGGGGCCACGCGCGCTCAGAGCCGGGCCGGGCGTCTGCAGGCTCGGGGTGCTGCGCGCGGTGTCCCCGCCGAGCGCGGCCGGCCCTGCCCAGCGGAATGGAAATGAGTGTTTACACGTCAAATCGACGAAAGCCATCTCCTGACGTCACATCTACCTGGCCCCGAGCCGCGTGGCATTCCCGGGGGGCGGAGGAGGCTAAAATAAGCAGCCCGGGGTGCGGGAGGGCGGCGCCCAGGACCGGCCCCGTCTGCCTCCCACCCACCGGCGTCCTGCAGCCCAGAGGTCGCCTCGCTTCTCCGAGAGGCTCCCTATGGAAGGAGACCCGCCAGGAGGGGAGCTGGGGGCGCAGCGCCAGGGTCTCTTCTTTCACCCCCTCTCTGTGCACTGACTCTGCTACACACCTCCTTACTCTTGCTCTCAGGGGTGGGATGCTGGTCGCTGCTCGGTCCCGCGCCTGCTGCGAGAAGCTCGCCTGGATCTTTCTGATCACACACAGACTGAGAAAGCAGGCAGGAGGGATATTTCCGCCCGAGATTCTGCTCTGATTCACTCCCAGGGGACCATCCGCTACGTCTTCAAGACAGTGTTAAAACCACACTTTGAGAAAAGGTGCATTTGGGGCTGAACCCTGCTGTCTTCTTCCCTCTGTCTCTCACAACAGCCAGACAAATGACTCAAATTCTAATTCAGATATTGCGGCGTCCAGGGACGAGCATCCAAACGGAGCTTAGCAGGAAAAGAATCAATGCCAGAAACAGAAGATCGTTCTGTTCATTCCAAATCATCCACCGAGCGCCCCCACCCAGTGCCGTCTTGTTGACCCAGCGGGGTCCAGAGCGCGTCTCCTTCGCTCTGAACTTCCCCGTTTCTTTCTCATCAGAGCTCCTCACTTTGCTGGGGGACTGAAGCTGTTGCCATGGCTCTCCCCGTGCACTGCACAATGTCTCTCTTTCAGGCGAATGTTTCCTCTACACACACCAGCAGCAGACCTCTCCGCGGGAAGACAGTTCACTCTCTGGTTCAAATCCCCAGGGCTGGAGCTGCAGCTAATCGCGTGCGCGCGCGCCGTTTTCAGCACCGTGGACAGAGCCACGGCCGCGCTGGCCGCAGCAGCTGCCTGTCCCTCCTCCGAGCTCCAGGCTGTCCTGCACTCCAGTTGCAAACCACCATAGCCAAGATCTCCTCTTGACCCTTGCCTTTCCCCCTTTATAACGGGGGAAATGGGCTTTTAACTCACGAGAGGGCTCTCTGCTTAGGCTCTTGATTGTGACTACTTGGCGCCCAGATGGGGGAACGCTCTGGACTTATTTCAAAGTACAATTTCAGGGAAGTGAAAATCTTTGCGGAAGGAATTGTCTTTCCTTTCTTTCTTTCTTTCCGTTTTCCTTAAGCTCCCAGCCGCCGGGTGGCGCAGCCTATTCTAGAAGAAGGAGAGGAGGGATGAAATGGGGGAGAAAGCGGAGTTTGAGAAGAGAGAGAGGCAGAGATTCTTTACAGAAAGCAAATAAATGAAAGGAAACTCGGGAGATGAGGCTGAAGGGTGCTATTGTTTTATTTGCCTCTGCGTCTGCAGGATTGTGAACTAGAGTGATTCTGTCTTTAAATATAAGATCTCCTAACAACGTAAGCAATGTTTTGTTATACAACAGTATAACTCTTAGATGAGATGCCCTGGAATGGATTAAGAGATATGGCTCTTCTGCCTGGTCTGCAAATTCAGTTGTGTGACTGCTGAAGTCTGGTTTTTTCCCACCTTTATGCCTCTAGCTCAGGTGTTCTCACTCTCTAAGATGCTTTATTCTCACAGCAGACAGATGTTGTGTGCTAGCAAGGCAAAGGCAATTCATGGTGATTTTTAGTGATGGTAGGTATAATTAGAGAAGAGTATATTTGCCCCTTTCTTATTATAACTCAAGAAAGCCACGTTAGCAGAGGCAGACAGTTGGCACTATGACCAGTGTCTCGTTAATATGCTATTTGTCTTCGATGGACCACTATATAAGCCTGAAATAAACATTTGATCATTTCCTTACTAGGACAAGCCAAATTATCATTATTAGAAGATGATATTCCTATCCAAGATTATTTTTATCCTACAATGATTACTTACCTCTAGAAAGGAATGTTTGACAAGGCCAGGGGTGCAAATTTATGTAGATCTACTTTAATTTTTTTTCTTCAAGAGTTAGTATCATCCTTCTAGGTAGATCATAGTAACAACTTCCAGACTCATCAGTGCTGTGTCTTATATCATTAATTACAGGAGTCAGTTATTGCTAGAGTGTTCTATTCATAGGGCTGGAGAAAGAACCTCCTTTGAAGGGTCACAGCACAAGATTTGCATGCAGGAGCAGGGGAGTTTCACCAGGAGTCGACCCCTGAGCATCTGAACCTCAGTGACTGCCAAATATGGTCCCCAAATTTCCTCTGAAAGTTGGCTTTGATGCATTGATTAGCATTTTATGCACTTGATTACCTTGTATAGGAAACAGAAACTGAAGAGCTCTGTATTCTATTATGGGTTATCAGGTGCATATTTTGCTGGTCACGACAGCTGCCAACTGCCAGCTAACACAGTTAATCATTTACTAAGTTTTCTTTGAGACTAATAAAACTAGCAATTGTATGAGCAGGAAGTAAGACAATGTTCCAAGGAGATATATCTTTAGTCTTAGGAAACTATTTTTTAAAAATCTTGTTACGGACGTAAATTTGAAATCTGAAGTACAGAAAGCAAAGTGCTCACAGACAACAAAATAAGTACCATAATATCATTCAGGTCAAGAAAAATAGCATGCCTAGCCCTCCACAATAATATATTTCAAGGTTTTCAAGAAGCATAACACCAGTGAAGAAATGACAAGTTTGATATATCTAAACTGTTATATGTTTCCTCTGAGTAACAGTAAGTCTCTATTAATTTAAGTCAGTGACTAATTAATGTGTAATTATATTAGAAGGTATTTGATCACTTAATCACTTAACTTCCCGTTAGTCGTCGATTTGCTTGAGCAGGCGCCAGTAACGTCTCCATTTGTCCTTGTCGCGTGCTAATGTAGCCCAATGGCATCTGTTCACTCTGGGAACATGAAGAGCCTCAAACCGATCGTTCATGATCTTGATGAAGAAGTCTGACCATCTGGTAGGTGGGCGGCCACGCGGTCTTTTGACATCCCATGGAATCCAGTCGGTAACAGCTCTAGTCCAGCGGTCGTCTTTAAATCTCATTACGTGACCAGCCCATCTGATTTTTGACACCTTGGCAAATGAGACAGCGTCCCTGATTCTTGATCATTGATGGAGGTCGGAACTCCGGATTTTTTCTCTCATTTGAGTGAAACGTGATATTCCAAGCATAGCTCTTTCTATTCTTCTTTGGGAGACCTGAATAGCGTTCTCATCTTGTTTGCGTAGGGCCCAGGTCTCAGGCATATGTTAATGCAGGAAGAACAGTGGAATCAAAGAGATGTGCCCGGAGCCGGAGGTTCTTCGTCCTCTTAGCTATTTCTTCGACGTTCTTGAAGGCGTTCCAAGCCGCTCTCTTCCTCCTGCGCAGCTCGGGTGCCAGGTCATTTGTCATGTTGACCTCTCGACCTAGGTACACATAGCTGTTGCATTCGGAGATGGTCGTTCCATTGAGAGCAAATGGGGCGTCAGGAACGAGGTTGTTTCTCATAACCATTGTCTTCGTAAGATTCAGCTGTAGTCCTACCTTTCCACACTCACGGTCAAAGAAGATATTTGATAACAGAACATTTTACAATTGTAAATTTACCTGTATTTATGTGTTTGTCAACATAGAAAATATTATAGAGCATAATGGGAACAATAATATTTGTAGATATGGATGAAATTTGAAGACATATATATGGAATTTGGTATAGAGATTTTTTATTGATGAAATTTTGAAAATAAAATATTTTGGACATATATTAAAATTGTTCAGCACAAATATACAATTTTTATTAAAAATTTCTATCTTAGGTTTTTTACTTGAAAGGCTATACACTAAGACTAAACTTTTCAACAGCAGGGTAGGGTTGGTGGGTATATTAAGTGGGGAAGAGCGAGGTGGCAGCCTCAAGAAGAAAATCTGCTGCTTCCCTTCCTTCCTCCCTAGGAAAGTGCCTGGGAAATCTAGGACTGATGAGTGTCTGTGATGAGCCCTGCAGTACATGGACACTTATGACCCACAGCTCCATTAGACCGTCATTAAGCTGTGCCTGGAATCCACTTATTCTGCGTGGTGTGAGAGATGATCCCTGCCACCCTATTTCTCAGGGAACCATGAATCAGGTGGAAGCAAGGAATTGCTCTTTTCAAATAAAGTGAGGGAAGGAGAGGGGCCAAGGAAATCGTACATCTATAGATTTACATAATAGACACTCAGGTGCTATCTCCAACATCCTATGTAGCCCCCCCCAGCACTTCCAGGGTGATCTCTGAGAACAGAGCCAGGAACATCCCCTGAGCATCACCTGACATCACCCCAAATATCTACCCCCCACAAAAAATAGCAAGGGAATGGGGAAGAGATAAAGTTTTGTGCTCTAGAGAGAACAAGAACTTCTCCAGAATGGAGAAAAGCCCCAGGACACATCCCACACAAAGATGCACAAAGATTTCCCTAGAATGAGGAAATGGGCATTAAGGGATAAAAGTCCACATCTAAGAGGAGAGATGTCAGAGGCCTGTGTGCTGGTGACACAAGCACACCTCTCCTCTGCCAGTGCCTTTATATGCAGTTTTCCCAAACAGCCTCTCTGAGGAGTCAGTTGGCAGCACAGTTGCCAGAAGAGGAGCCAGGAGCAGGTGATGATCTTCTTTTGATAGTCTTTGCATGGCGTTTATTCCAGTAGAGCCTCTCTTTTTAGGGGTCCAGTCTCCTCTCTCTCTCTCTCTCTCTCTCTCTCTCTCTCTCTCTCTAAGCCTCATTGAGACCAGGCCTGAAATTCTACATCTCAGTGATTTTCCAGGATCATAGAAGGTTTGTTTGTTTATTTGTTTTCTTCCAAGGCATTTTCTATACCTTCAGAATGATTTTGATTTTAGGCACTCTTCTTCCCAACATATATTACAAGGCCCCCAAAGCTTCCTGCCTGCAACAATACCATTTTTTTAATCAAGACTTTTGAGGAGGGTCTTTGGGCCATACCTATTGGTACTCACAGGTTATTCCTGGATCTGTGCTCAGCAGTGACTCCAGGAATAAATAGATAAATAGATAGAAAGATAAGTATATATATTTGAGAACCCTGTCAGGCACAGACAGAGGGGGCAGAGATGAATAAAGTGAGAGGAATAGGAGAATTTTTTTGGTGTGCACTCCTGGATGAAACTC